TCCGGAATTGCATCCCACGCCTCCTGAATAGCCGTACGGAGAGCCGCAAGACTAAGCCGTTGAAGATCTGGGTGATGGTCCTCGACGTAGTTCTTCAGCCACTGCCAGAGGTTTTCTATCGGGTTGAGGTCCGGGCTCCGAGCAGGCCACTCCAACAGCTCAAGTCCAAGTGCCGCAATGAGACGCCTCGTTGAGCGAGCTGTATGGGCAGCAGAATTGTCCTCTTGGAAGACAAACTCACAGCCGTGAGACTCCCAGAACTGCCGTACAAGAGGAAGTATAAATCGCTGATATCTCTCAGCGTTTATACCCCCGTATACCTTCTCCTAGAAGAACCCGGGTCCCTTGTGCCGTCCTGCAAAGCAGCCCCAGAACATCTAGCCGTGTGGTTTCTGCCGAAGAAGTGCCCAAGTACGAGGGTTTTCAGTGTCGTACACGGTAATTAATCCACCTCTTCCACATAGGGTTATTGGTAGCCCAAGTCTCGTCGCTAAAGATAACCTTTTCCCAGTCCTCAGGATTAGGTCGCAGAGCCAACTGCTCAAGTGTAAAGGCGAGTCGTGTAGCCCGGTGCTGAGCAGTCAGTTCAATCCTACGGGGGCGTTTTCTTCCCGAGTAACCCATTGATCGCAGAGCTTTGAAGATTGCAGTCTCTCCAAAGAGCTCAAAACCTGGGATGTAGTACTTCAAATCGTTCCATGGGAGCTCGCGGAAGAGGTCGTCAGCTTCGAGGTAGTGGCATTGAGCGTCGGAGATTTTTTGTCTCCATCTCCCCCGCTTTCTCCTCAAATCACCGGGAACGCTTCTCCCTCTTGGCGGCGGCACCTTTCTCGTTCTCTCCAACAACAGGCTGAAAGCACAATTTAGACCGGCCGGGCTGCTGCCGGCCCGCGGTAGGTAGCCAAGCACCTGCGCAGCCGTCCGTTGTTTGCCAAACCATGGATGTACGTACTATCTGTTAATTACCCCTTCTCCGCATATGGAGCTAAGGTGTGAACGCTAAGTGCTCGTGACACCCCCCTCTTAGACCCCCGAGCTTGGCCGGCACTTCAAGACTTCCCAAGATTAGAGAATGGGGTTGGGAATGGCAGTGGATGTGCAGAAGATGCTTCTGGCCATATTAATTGTTGGGCCGAACCGGATCGGCTTGGGGGGATAACCACTAATATGGAAGCCCCCCTTTGTGGTCTTAAATAACTGCTCTCCCGTATGCCCCCGCTGTCGCAAGCTTCATCAGTAATTATTGTCCATCTTTCTAGTACCCTCAAATTCGGGTATACCTGCCTGAGCCTTCGATGGTCTGGACTTGAGCGCAGAACGATACACCGGCAGTCGGGCTTCGCCTCTGCACTTCTCGAGAAATGGGATCTCCCGCCGAAGACGAATCGTGGCGCACCCACTGGAAGTGCTTCGTTGCCTGCGGAATCATCGTGCTTTCGCCGTTTCAGTATGGCGTCGACTTTGGCCTCATCGGCGGCCTGCAGGCCATGCGCGGCTTCCTCCAGGTGTGTAGATCCCATCATTGGCACCATCGCGAGACGCGTTTTCAACCAGTATTTTTTTTAACTATTATCATAATCTTGACCACGGCCACTAACAAAGACCAACAGATCTTCGGCCACGAAGCCCCCAACACCCCCCTCGGTTGGAACCTCGACACAACACGCCAACAGCTGATTTCCTCCCTCATGACTCTTGGCGCCTTCATCAGTTCCGGGACGGCTGGTCTCACAGCCACCTATGTGAGCCGCAAGCAGTGTCTGTGGATAGCCTGCCTGGGCTGTTGCGTCGCAAACATTATGATGATGGCCACTGAGAATATTGGCGCACTATATGCCGGGCGGTTCATCATCGGGCTGGCGAACGGGTATTTTATGACCTTTTCGCAGCTGTACATCCAGGAGAGCAGCCCGGCAAGGTATCGCGGGTGGTTTATTACCGCGTTTCAGTTTTTTACGTCGTTTGTATGTCCCTAGCCTCCAGGCCCCCCCAGACTAAACAGTATAACGGAGGGTGAGGGCTAATTTACTGCAACCTTCTAGGGCACCCTCATCGGCACTATCATCGACTGGGCAACCGCGAGCCGCCCCGACAAATCGGCCTACCTCATCCCGCTCGGAATGATCTACATCGTGCCCGCCATCATGACGGTAGCCCTCTTCTTTATCCCCGAATCACCTCGCTGGTTTATCCTTACCGGCCGCTACGAAGAAGGCGTCAAGTCCCTCCGGTGGCTGCGGCCCGCCGGTGCTGATGTCGACAGCGAGGCGGCCGAGATCAAGGCTGCGATTGATCGGGAAACCGAGATGGGCAGCGGGGCGTCGGTGTTGGATATGTTTGTGAATCCCATTGACCGGCGGCGGACCTTGTTGGCTGTGTGTGCTGTCACGTTACAGGCCGCGTCAGGGTCGATGTTTATTATCGGTGGGTTGTCTGATCCTCCTGCTTCTGTTCCCCCCCCCTTGGCCTGTTCGTAATGGTTTATTACTGACAACTGCGAATAGCATACAAAGCTTACTTCCTCGGCATGTCGAAGGTCGCCAACCCCTTCGGCATGAGCAACATCCTCTCAGCCATGGGCATCCTCGCCATCATCTTCAATTCCCTCATCGTCGTCCGCTACGGCCGCCGCCGCGTCATCCTAATGACCGGGCTCGTCCTCTGCGGCGTGTTCCAACTCATCATGGCCGTCGTGTACGACAAACAGCCCGGCACGACCTCCACGGGCCAGGTCCTCGTCGCGTTTACCTGTGTGTACATGATGAGCTACAATGGCATGATCGCGACGTATGCTTGGTTGGCTGGCGGCGAACTGCCGTCGCAGCGGCTGAGGAGTTATACATTTGGTCTGGCGGCGGCGGTCGGGTTCTTGTTTGCGTGGTTGACGACGTTTACGGCGCCGTATTTTATTAATCCGGAGTCGTTGAACTGGGGCCCGCGGTATGGGTATATCTGGTTCCCGTCGTGTGTGGTGGCCACGTTGTGGGTGTATTTCTTCTTGCCGGAGACGAAGGGGCGCACGCTTGAGGAGATTGATGAGATGTTTGAGAAGCGGTTGCCGGCGAGGCGGTTCAGGAAGCATGTCTGCGTAGGACATGTAGTGGGGGTCAAAGTGGAGGACAAGGAGAAGGAGAAGGATGGGAGTGTGAGAGAGGTGGAAAAGGTTAGCGTTGATGGAGAGAAGGATGTGTGATGATTATGACGCTTATCATGATGAGTAATTGAGTGAGGAGATGTTGTTAATATCCCAACTTGTGGGAAAAGCTTGATGTCACTATCGTCGGTTTCACCACGCTCGATGGAATTAAATGGGGTTAATCTGGAGTTAGGAACTTGGGAAGGGAACAAAAAGCTCGCCACTGAACCCTATTCCCATCCGGAGGAATAGCGGTCGGTGGTTACGAAAAGCCCAACCAGGGGCTTTTAATTCGCTGGTCCCGGGAACCGAACCCGGGAGCTCTTCGATTTACGACGGTAGTGGCAGGGCCAGACCTACTCCCAATGCCGCTGAGCTAATCTACCGGTGTGTTTGGCTCTTGGGAGGGTCGGTGACAGGGACTCTGCGCGAGGGGGTGATATGGGGGGACCTGTCTGGGAAGGAACGGCAAAGGAGTTGTGATGAAAGGCATCAGGGGCCGGCTGGTGCCTCACTGCCTTCATCTCCATCAGGTACTAGGTAAACAATTCCCATCTCCGACCGTGTAGAACAGCTGCCTTAATTGTGCATTGAGTGTCCAAATCGATTTACACCCAAATTTCCAACCAGCACAACATTTCATCTATGATCTTCCTCCTGCAGCTCCTTGTCGCAGCAACCAGCATTTCTAATCCCACTACTCACCTGACCGTCAAGATATTCGTTCGGGAATTACTCGGCCCGATAAGGGGCGTCAAGACTTGAGCCGCCCAGTTTAGAACCGAGAGACATGCAGCTGATCGCCATGGGTGTCTTACACTAGTGTAGGCAATGAGACTCCATCCCACGCGTTTCATTCTTGGGACTCGGAGATTTGGACGGCCAATGACGGTGACGGATATAAACCATATTCGCTAACCTGCAAGAGGTTTACGTGTGGAAGAAAAAAAATAATGCCACAGTATTGTTATTTTTGTTATTTTGCCTGACATTCTTCAACAAGTGTGTAATTTTTCTCGATCTCACTTGCCGATGAGTGTGAGGAAAGGTTCGGGCCGGATCGTCGATCTTCTCGGCCGAGAATATTATCTAATACCCCGCGATATTCCCTGATGTTAATCCCGTCGCGACGACTCTTTGTTCGAGAATGCGACATGTGGGCATCATTGACATGATACCGGGCTTAAGTGCTTAATTCCGTAGTGTGTCCCCCAATCTCCGTCGATGCTTGTTCAAAGTGCCTGCTAAAGAGGAAAATGCACAAATTTACAGGGCGGTGGATTAGGTAATGCACGAGTCTTCGTGCTATAAAGATGTCTTGGCTCTCTCGGCCTACCACTTTTGGAATCTGAACTCGACTTTTCAACATCGTCTTCAACGACAATTGGTAGTGACCCATCATGGCGGATGCCGACGAGAAGGTTCCGGTTGGGGTCGAATCCCCAATTGAACAGAGGGCCATCGGAACGACGAAAGATAAAGACCATATTTTCGAGGACGCACCTTCGAACGCGCCCGCCAAGACTGAAGATGGCGTCAAGGACGAACACAACAACGCCAACGATGACAACGACAGCGACGCCAAACCCCAAGATCCAGAGAACCCATCGCCGGAAGCGCCTAAACCTGTGTACTCGGTCTTCTCCCCCGGCATGAAGCGCTTCCTAGTGGTCACGACCGTCTTCGGCACCTTCTTCTCCCCTTTCTCATCGTCCATCTACTTCCCCGCCATCACACCCATCGCCAACGAATACGGCCGACCAGTATCCGACATCAACCTGAGCGTAACAACATACCAGATCATGCAAGCGCTAGCCCCGCTCTTCTTCGGCGACCTCAGCGACCAGATCGGTCGCCGGCCTGTGTACCTGCTCAGCTTCGCCATCTACCTCGGCGCCAACATCGGCCTGGCCGTGCAGCACAGCTACCCGGCGCTGATGGTGCTGCGGGCGATGCAGAGCACGGGCAGCAGCGCGACGGTGGCGATTGGGAACGCGGTCATGGCGGATTTTGCGACGAGTGCGGACCGTGGCGGGTTCATTGCGGCCGTGCAGGCGAGTGTGATGTTTGCGCCCGCGCTGGCGACGACGTTGGGGGGGATTTTGTCGCAGTTTTTGGGGTGGCGGTCGACGTTTTGGTGTTTGGTGATTATGACGGGGGTGTTTTTGGCGGTGTATCTGCCGGCCGTGCCTGAGGTAAGTGTCAAACTGATCACCCTGTACAAAAACCATGGAAAAGAAACCCCCCCCCAAAGGAAGGGAAAAAAAGACCACAACTGACTGGGTAATTAGACCGCGCGGAACATCGTTGGCAACGGCTCGATACCACCTCCCAAGTCCCACACCTCGCTGTACACACACTTCCGCCAGCGCAAACTCCGACGCCAGCTCGCAGACGACCCCGAAGCCCTAGCGGAAGCCCTCCCCCCTCCCAAGAAACTCCCACTTAAAATCCCCATCCCCAACATTTGGGCCGCCGTAGTGATAATCTTTGAGAAGGACGTCGGCCCGCTCATGCTGTTCATGTCCCTCTTCGTCATGGCTAACTACGCCGTCATGGTACCAATCCAAGACGTCATCCGCCGACAATACAATTTCAACGACCTCCAAGTCGGCCTCTGCTTCATCCCCTTCTCGGTCGGGTCCGTGGTCCGGTCCATCGTGATGGGCAAAGCCCTCAACTGGAACTATGCACGCGTCGCAAAAAGCATTGGCGTATCACCCGACCGCAAACGCGGCGACGACCTGCGCAATTTTCCGATCGAGCGGGCGCGGCTGGATCTCCTGTGGCCGTCGACTTTCCTCGCCGTCGGCATGATCGTCGGGTGGGGCTGGGTCGTCACGGCGGGGACCAGCCTGGCTGCGCCGCTGGTCGTGCTGTTCTTTGCGGGTCTTGCGCTGGCCGGGCCGGTCTCGGTCTTGACCACGTTGTTGGTGGATTTGTATCCGATGAATCCGGGGAGGGTGTCGTCGACGTTTAATTTGACGAGGGCTACGTTTAGTGCGGTTGGTACGGCGGTGGTGCAGTATATGATTGAGGCGTGGGGGTATGGGTATACGTATTTGTTTATGGGGTTGATTGTGTTGGCTGCGAGTCCGAGTGTGTTGGTGGTAAGGAAATGGGGGCCCAAGTGGAGGGAGGAGCGGTATCAGCGGTTTGCTAAGAAGCAGCAAGAGGCGGAGAGTACCTAGGGGTTAGGGACATAGAGATACCCAGCGTTTCCTTTCTTTCTTTTTTCTTTTTCTTTTTTTTGTGGTTGGCTTTTGCCCACGCTACATTAGATTATTATCGAGGCTGTTTCAGGATTTAAGCTCGGACTTAATAGAGGGTTGACTTACAGCTTCGGGCTGGCGGCAGCTCGCACTTGACGTGTCATCATCCGAATATCACTGGAAGATGAACCTTGATGTTTCAACTTTACAGTTGGAGCAACTGATCCTCAAGTAGGCTCAAGAATATAATCCGAGCTGACGCCGAGACTACCCATCATCCGAGTGTATCCCAACACATCGAGATAAGCATAGCATATATTATGATGATATTACGCCGCAACTTAACTCAATCTCATTCACAACAACTTACTCAACCAACCACAACATTAATTAACCACATTTTCGACACAACAACAACACACAACACACAACACCACCAAAATGTCCGCACCCAAACCCAATAATATCCTCCGCCGCAACCGCGGAAACAACACCACCACCACCACCACGACAACCACAAACCCAACCCAGCGTCCTCCCGCCCAGGCCATCCCCGACTTCGCCCAAATCCAGCCCGAACAACTAGTGCCCACCCCCGAGCAGCAGCGGCGATTTGAGAGAACAGGTGGCTTTGGCACACCCCCGAAAGAATACCGTCTCCGCTTCTACTGCCTGACATGTCAGAACCGGCCCAACCACAACGGCGCATGTGCCACCGCCAAAAAGCTCAATGCTGCAATGCCGACGCGGTTTGCGTGGCATTATGGCGCGTATTCTAGTCCGCATGTGTGGGACTGGGAGTTGGGGATTGAGTTTTGTCCTCCTTTGCCTCCTTCTGATGCTACTTCTGGTGGTGCTCCTCCTGCTGCTGCCGCTAGGAACGGAAATGGGAATTGGAACGTCACTGCGAAGGTGAAGGAGGTGGTGAGGGCGGTTGTTGGGCCGTTGAAGGACCCTGCTCCTCCTGCTGCGGCTGCTGCGACTGCTTCCGCGGCTGCGCCAAAGAAGCAAGAGGGGACGGTGAAGAAGGTGATTCAGGGGTTGAGGAAGAAGAACGGGGAGAAGAGTGAGACTGCGACAGCGGTGCCGACACCTGTGGTGCCGCCGCCGTTTAAGGTGGATGATTTCTTGGCTGGGCTGAAGGCGAAGGGGGTTACGTACAAGACAACGCCTGAGGCATTTCCGTAGTGGGTTGCTTGTCTAGTTGTAGCGGGGTTGGTATTAACAGTACGGTCGGTCTTATCGGAGGAATAATTAACTCGTCTTATCCAATGTTCCTTATGTCCAAGAGAAACAGAAACCTCACACCCCCTGTTCAGCATCGCCCGGCACATCATCCGGATACTGATTCACAAAATCCGTCCGTCCATCCATCAACACATCCGCATTCAACCGCACACTCCACCTCACCATATCCGTCATCGCCGTCTCCCTGAACGCGTCCCCATGATCCCCAATATCACTCATAATATTCATCGGCCCAATCATCCGATGATGATGAAACAAACTCGGCTGCGTCGTCAAACACTGTCTCCCCGCCTTCCTCCCCTTCTCCCCCTCGCAAAAATACCGCAACAGCAAATCATACGCCGTGCTCACATCCTTCAATCCAACCTCATGCAACAGTCTCCGCGCCCCACGCTGCGTTAGCGCATACCCCAGCGTGCACACCCCCTCCTGCACGTGGTGATACGCACGGGTATGGTCCGGGTAGTTTTCCTTGAGCGTGAAGGGGATGTTGAGGGTCCAGAGGTTTTTGCGCGGCGCGACGGTCTCGTCGTCGCGGCGGATGATGCGTGCTTTGGGGACAGTCCGGCTGCGCTTGAAGGGGAAGTGCATGCCGCAGTGGCCGACCCAGAGGATGTCCCAGTTGTCGCCGTAGGGGGAGGCCGTGGGCGGGGTGGTGGAGGGTAAGGAGTGGAAGTCCCAGTCGGGGAGGGACTCGGGGGAGTTGTCACGGGGTTGGGGGTAGGTTTCGTCGGCGTAGGTTGGGGGGGTGCGGCCGCCTGGGGAGGAACGGAGGGGTTGGGTTAGGGCGTGGGTCGAGAGGGCGAAGTCGTGGAGTTGGTCGCGGATGCGGACGTCCCAGTCGACGTCGTCTTCGAGGATCAGGGCGGTAGTTAGGTTGCGGTGGACGATTCTGCGGGCGTTAGTATTTGCTTCAGCCTTGTCTATAACGGCAAGCGGAATAATCAGGTGACAGATGTGATAGAGCCGGGACATACTCTCGTACGGCATTCATATGTGCCCGCCAGGACCCGATCGAGGCATCGGCCAAGCGAGTGTGCTCCGGCGACGACGGCACGGCCTTGTCGGGCACATCCTTGCCCATGACGCCGTCGATGAACTCGAACTGCATGTCGCTCAAGGCAGCTTGTAGGACCATGCCATCGCGGCGGTCGGAGCGGGACGGCAAGCCGACGACGAAGATTTTCTCAAACTGGGGTTGTCAGTGTGTTTGTTCTCAGCCATATCCATCTCAGTCTCATCTCATCTCATTTTTTTGGTGAGATGATTATGAGATTCACAACGGTAAATGGACAAGACAGGCACTCATCGCATCGATGAAACAACCCTGGGCAAGAATACGATGAATGAGACCGGCACCAAAAGACACTCACACCAAACGTGCTATTCGCAATGTCACGCAACGGCCCCCTCGTCCAGTGCCGAGGATCGCGTGCCGACGACGGATTCGGGCCGCTCCCTGGGTCGCTGCGGAACTGGAAAAACAGGAAAATGACCACGAGCGCCGTAGCCAGGGCCCAGAACCCCCGTTTCTGGAACAGCCGAAGGGCCATCGCGGGGTTGGGTCAGGGAACCAAATCGCTAGAACCAAAAGGAGTTATGAGAGAACAGAAGGTAAATATAATTTAAAAGAATATTATAATGGCGTCGTCGTCGTTGCGGCCCCAAACCATTCCCCATCAGCCGCTGTCAGATGAACGTTTGTGACACTTGACAATTCACGGAAGCGGCAAACGGACTTCCGCGTGAAGGGACGCGCGCCAAAAAGAGATTTGTTAGCTGCTGTCCACGAAACGTGGACCTTCATCCCAACCAACCCCTGAGGCCCTGGACCCAACTCAGGGGCTGTGGGTGGCTCGGGTGGTTCGTCTCAAGTTGGCGGTCCATCGCATTCGACCCGGCACTGGCCAACTTCAGGGATGTGCCACCCCACAGCTTTGGGTTGTGTCTGCGCTCGGGTGCATGCGCTGATTGGACGCCGAGCGGGGCCCCAGGCCATGCTTGCCAGGCAAGCTTGGCAAGCCAGACAAATCTCGCTCGTTCTCTGTCCTCTATTCTCCAGTTCCTGGGTCGTACACTTCTTTGCATCGTTCGCATCGGCCGGTCGTAAGGGAGATACTATGGCTGGAGAGAGAGAGTCCGCAAATGATAGTGCAGAGCCTTCCTATAGTTTAGTAGGTGGACGCTGTTGCAGTATACGGCGTTGAAGAAGTTAGGAGGGTGCCTCCGCGCGGGTTTGCCAAGTGGCCGAAATTCAGGGGGTCCGGCTGAGGTTCAAGCAATAACTTTTCAGTTTTCCGTCAGGACAAGAACTGCTTACATTTGTCGTACCTGACATAAAACATATTTGAAGCGAGCAGAAGCAACAGTTACCACTCTAGACTTAACATAACACCACTGAACACGACTATGCAACAGTGGGTTCTACAACTATTGTCTCACGCCGCCCAGAGGATATTCTCTAACTCCACGTGTAATTGCATTACACCTGAACGTGGGCTACCCTTCGGGTCGATAAGGTATGGCGACAGAGAGGTAAGAAAGAAATCACGTGGAGGTAAATGGCTGCTGGTGCAAGATGTTCAGGCACTCTGTCGGCACTTTGTTGCAGGAAATGGAAGCCAGGAGCCTTCTACCAACCCTAACCCTCCTTTTAGGTATTCCCCTTCCTGGAGGGATAATGATTGATAAGTTGAATGATAACACCTGAAAGTCGGGAATACTTGGACACGCCGAAAAAGTACAGACGGGAAACATGTAGTGTCTCATAACTTCCCCTATTTTGACTAGACACAACTAACGATAACCATCTGAAGGCCAGAGGGGCGCCTCAGTGCGGCCCAGGGCGGGTAGTAATTCGGGAGGGAGAAACTACGCCGCAACCTGTTGGTGGCCTCAGCCAGATCTGATGTTTGTGTCCCCATGTCCCAACAGTATTCGGCCAATGGTTTGGCATGATCTGATACATATTCCGCGTTGTGGGCCAACGCGGTCATGAGATTTGGGGGGCCGAAGGCCGTCCCGAGTTCCCAACACCCAAGTTCAGATTGTGATAATTGAATTATTGATATGAGCCAGTAGTTCGATGCGCAGCAAGATCGATCCCCTGGGATGTGTTAGAATGCGCTATACCTGGCCAGAGTAGGCTGGGGAGATGGGCTCTTGGGGGAGCACAGGTACTTAGGTACGTGATATGATGATCATGCACTGTGAACAAGAATTACTCGCTCAAGGCCGAATTAGCGTGACCTTCTTCTCATATCAACCAGACCAAGGAGGACAAGTGAAACTCGCCCCCAATGCCTTACTAGCCGGAAAGACCACCGGTAACCTGTGGTTTCATCTTGAAGCGGCGCGAAGGCGAGAAGCCTTTGGCCAGGCCGGTTGAGGCTTGAGAGGCCGCAATGCTGCCGTGGTATTGTTGGCACGGGAGATGAGAGCGACATGAGAACGGTGGATTATACGATAATAAATAGAGCCACCTCTTCTCCTTCTATCGGCGATCACGGATATCTGTATCATTCGCAACCACTTATATACTTCCTGTCTCAATACGCAATAAGACTTCTCGCTGGCCGAGATATTGTATCCCCCTTTCTTTTTTGAGTTCCACGTTACTTCAGATTTCCGCCACTCTGTTGTTACCACGCACACCATACCACGCCTCGAATCACTATAATCGTAACGCAGCGTAAAGCAACAGCCCCGAGATCTAACCGAATTATGACCATCAACTGGGCCCGCACGCACCCCCTCCAGCAAATTGGCGTAAACGCGGATACTGCCAGCTGGGAGGTCCACTTTCAGAGCCACATCGACGACCGCAACATCCAATGGAACGACCTCCTCGACATCGCCGAAAGCTACTGGTCCGATATCAGGCGCCGTTGGGGCAAACGGGCCGAGACTCGCAACGGGCACTGCCTCGTAGCCGCCCTCTTCGTCCCGGACACAGCCGGGTGACACTGCTTCGTCTCGACCATCCCGCGCGAAACCAAGCAGGACGTAATGGTCGAGGACGGACCGATCGACGCCCCCACGTGGTTGCTCGCCGTCAACGCCGGCCGACAGAGTAGCACAGAATTGACGCTTCACGCCGAAGACGCGGTTCTGTTCAACTTTGAGAGAGCCGTGCGCTGCAACCGTCAGGTACGCCGCGAAATCCCGTCGCAGCGCGAACCGGAGCTTCTGCCGTACCTCAAGATTCTTAGCGAGGGGTACTATATGCAGGACCGCGAGCATGAGTTGGGACCCCTGCGCCTCGCCGTGTGGGGTTACTACTACAGCGACTCGGACGGAGTCAAGCAAACCGGCCGACCAATCGAGCTGTGCACCAAATCCAAGAAACAACCTTCGTGCCGACGGGTCGCCCAGATGTTGAACATTTCGTACTGTACGGCTGCCTTGAGGGCGCAGGAGGAGCGGCTGCTGAGCAGGCCAACGAGGGGCTCCGCGCTGAACACGCAAATAGTCCCCTCCTGGGATAGAGGTAGCGGCAGCCTCCGTTGGGGAATCGGCAGTGCTCCCCAGGCCCCGAACATGTCATACGGCCGCCACGTTCCTTCGTCCTCCACATCCTCTAGCCACCGCCCGCGGGATCCACGCTCGCGTTGATACTCCGGTCAATATAACAACAGGTGAGCTTGTTTGGTAAACGAGGTCACTAGGGGAGGGTTGGTTTTGGACATTTTTGTAAGGGGGGAATTAAGAGCAGGCCTCTTTTAACCCTCACACTCTTTTTGGTATAACTGCCGGTTTTCAGGAGAAAGGAGAATGGCAATGGGTGGATGGGTGGATGGGTATTAATAAATGCAGTTTAGAAAGGTTGAAGGTTGAATAGAAGCAGTCACCTGCGGGTAATACTTGTATCACTTTTGTGACTGAAATTGGTAGCCGCTCAGGGTTAACAACCAACACATGTTTACCTTGGTCCTGAAGTTGACGGAAAATCGCAGCAACATGTGTCCAAGCAATTACCTGGTAGGTATGGCCAGAGGCCTTTGTGTAGGATGTGGTTTGGGAGCTGATGTACATACATACGTTTATTCAATACGTACTGTGGTAGGTGTAATTATATATAGTACAGACCGTGATCGCAAGGTACCTAGGTACATAGGTATATACTGGGTACACGTACGATCGTTACTTTTGCTAAAACCCTTTGCAGCGTTCTGCCTCTTAGGCTCTTAAGCTCTTGCTTACATCCGGGCCCTCGAAAACGGCGCCAAAAGCAGTTGAAAGGGGCTACCTAAAAGCACCGCTTTCAGGGTCTTGCCCTTGGTGTATTACATGGAGTGTATGTGGAAGAAAGGCACTCCTCGCAGCATTGGAAAAGGCTCTCGCGGTGGTTCCGACCTAACCTGGTAATTATAGCACTCTATCGGATAGTTTACACTTCTGTACTGTAATTACCTCTCTTCGTACGCCTTGGCTTCAAGGAGAATGTTGCTCCACCTTCCGTATTTGGTTGCAACCCGCAACACCCAAAATATGGAAGCCGCACAGCCGACTTTTGCTTCCTGCAACCAACTGCACCCAACCGACGAGCAACCACTCGACAATCAAGAGAACTCGCTCCCTTGCACCGCGCACATTTAGGGGACCAAAGTTTAGGCGTTGTATAACCTTCATTTTCTTCCGTTTTTTGCCCGTACACAATGCCTCTGTATTACTGGCATGCTATTTGAGACCCTGGGAATCTCGGATGTTCAATTCCCCAGGTCGCTGAGTGGGAGATGCGCTGGTGCTTCTGTGCGGAGGCTTGAGCGTTTGGTGATTGACACGCAAATTCAGCAAGGGGCCACAATACCATGGATCGCGATGCGCTGAAAACGAGTCCGATTTCTGCCAGCCGTCTGCCTGGCCTGCTTCGCCTCACTCCCGAATGCCGACAGCACATCTATGCCAACCTAGGGCTTTCCAACGTTCGCACGCCCGACCGGTCCAGGCCGACCGTCCACAGGCCGGTGTACGACCTTAGCGACCCGTTAGATTTAGCGCAGGCGGACAGTTCAGACGACGACTTCGAGTTGTCCTTGCCGACCGTGAACGGCCTCGGCGACCCGTCGAGCTTCGCGTCTCATCCGGGCAGCCTAAACGAAGCTGTGAAGTACCCTTTTGAGTACCCTTTTGAGTACCCTTACACGCCCGTGCCAACCTTCTACGACCTCAGCGACGCTTCCAGTCTTGCCCATCATGCGGGCAGCCCACACGAGGACTTCCAGACCTTCCACGGCCTGCTCTTGTCTTGTCGCACCCTCTACGCCGAAATTTCGGCCCTCCTCTACTCCTTCTACTCGTCCAACCGATTCCTCCTCCATTACCATGCCCCGAGCTACTCACTGCTCGCGCCACTGCGGACTGTCAGACCACAGGCCGTGCGACATCTCGCCCACCTGAAAGTCGTGCTGAACCAAGCCTCATGCCATGACCCCTACCATAATAGCGACCGCGAGTGTTGCTGGGACCGTTCTTTACGAACGCCCCAATGCGTCGAACATGGGGCGTGGTATACGCATGACTTGCCGCTGAACGCAGCCAACACCGCCGTGATCACGGCGTTGGCCCGCGAGTGGAATGCTGCGGCAGCCTACCTAGCGTCCCAACTAGCGACGAACCCGGGCCGGCTCGAACTAGCCTTGGTGTGCGACGTCCAAGCCGGGGACGTGGACACGGCGCAACAGGTCGTTCTCAGTTCCCTCGAGCCGCTGCTACCGTTGCTGAAGGACTGCCATGTTCGGCTGTGCCACAAACCCGATCCAGTGCTCCAACGGCTTGCGTTGGAAACGGTCGCGCGCGTCGGATGGCGACAACAACCGCAACCGCTCGATAGCTCTACCTCCCACCGATACCAGAGCAAGCGCAGTCTTCTCGCTCTCCCCCCGGAAATACGCCTCCGCATCCTCGAGTACACCGACCTCGTCGCGCCTTTTTGCGAGCTCTATTGGAGTCGAGACACTCGCCGACTCACCTTCAACCGCGGCCGCTGGCACGGGCATTGTCCATCCACGTTGAAGCACGGCTACCAGTTTCTGCGGTGCTCCGAGTCCGCACTCGGCGAGCAGAATGTAGGCTGCTTCTGCCGAATTCGGCACGCGGCCGCCTCGTCATTGTCCAAATCATTCCCGTCGTACGTCTGCCGGTGCTGGGGCGGCCCACCGACCGCACTGTTCCTCGTGTGCCGCACCCTGTCAGACGAAGCCCTCCGTGTCTGGTATGGCCGCAACCGCATTATCGTCTTTGACGGCGTCGATGCCTCGTCACCCTACCACCCCTGGTCGGTCGGCCACGACTACCCGCACAACCGCTTCGCCATAAGTGAGTTCCTGCGCGACGCCCTCCCACCGCGCTGCAGGCGTTACATCCGGACCCTCGAGCTGGCGTTCGCCCCGTTCACGCACTACAACCGGCCGCGCGGAGTCGGTCACCCGGCGTTTGTGGACTGGCGTGAGCTAGTCGGGGTGTGGATGAAGCGGAACTTGAACCTGGGCGGGCTGACACTGCGGCTGGTGACGACGCAGAATCCCGAGGTTGAAGGGATCGAAGGACACGAGATCATGACGACGAAGGCGCAGGGCAAGGAGGTTCGTGATGTGTATACTACGCTGTTGAACCCCTTACGAGACTTGGGCTGTCCCGAGGACTCTTCTCCTAGTATTACTACTGCTACTGCTACTCGTAGTAACAGTACGAGTGATCCTTCGAATCAACGTAGCGCACCCTTAGCTCGGTTCTACGCGGACCTTGCCTGGCCATACGTTCGGACTGGCGACCGCTGGCCACGGCGTGAGTGGTTTGATGCCAAGGACCGGGAGCTCCGACAGCGGTCAGAGCGATTCGTCATGGGGAACCGGTATGACGACGATGCTGGAGACGGTAAGAACTGTGACAACAGTCACTGGTTTGATACACTGGGCGGAGGGCCTGGTCGGAGGCGGAGCTCTTGGATGTGGTTTTTGCTGCCAGGGCAGCAGTGATGGTGATGCGATGAGTGATGAGCGAGGTAGTTGCGGTAAGTCGCCTACCTCTGAAACGGGAACCCACATGTGGACCGCATTTTTTGAGCCGTGTGACGCGGACAACACCGTCAATTTAACACGACGTATTGGCATATATTGCCTACTTTTCCCTACATAATGACTGCACGAGCCCTCTGAATCTGCTCTTTTGTGATCGTTGTATTTAAAGGTTGCACATTCAATGCGTCCATCCACGATTTGCGCTGGGTGCATCCGTTCAGCGTTTACACATAACTATTAGATTTCTTGGATCCGTCTCAAGTTCTCAACAAGCCTCCTACACTATCCGAACTCGACGTTGGTGTTGACAATACCAGTACATGCAGCGGTTTTGATTATCGGGCCTTCATTGGCGCCACCGAATTATACCTATCTATCAACGGTTCTCGGCCTTTGGGTTTGTTTGAGCTTTCGAAGAGTGGTGAACCGGCTATTGAGTGGCTTCTTGAAGCTGACGCGGTTTTTCACAGCTATTTATCCGGCCTTAGCCAGCTATGGAGGAATATCCTGCTTGTTTACGACGGAAATGTGGGTATAATTATGTGGTGTTGTAGTTGAAGAAATTATCGCATGGGTGTTTTGGGGGCAGGAACAGCGTTAATTAAATCTCACGATTTTAACGTAATTACATGAGGTCCGTGGAGTTACCCGGAACATACTGAGTACGATGTTGGTAACAAAAGCTGATAAAGAAACCGCTTTTATAATTAGCTGTTGTGGCCATCCATAACCAACAATCGCCGTTGTGTTAGATCGCGTCGTTGGCTCCTTGGCATCCGGATCCTTTCCAGCCATTCCAGCGCAGTTACGCTGTTTATCCAGCCATTTTCAGTGGATGTAAATTACCAGTCCTTCGTGTCCTTCGTTTCTATGGGAAACCACTGCTGCCGAACGGCTACGTCCTTGAAAAATGGGTTAAGCGGTGGATAAACAGCCTGCGAACCTGCTGCTTGGCAACGACTTGCTGGATCAATTCCGCAACCCATGATGGTACAAGCTGGGAGAACAAGGCCCGTCGCTTAGATATAACGTACCTTACAAGCGAGCCGAACATATAAGCGGGCCGAACACTCTCCACCACTCTACAAACACTATCCTCTATTGCAGCACAACAACACTAGGAACCAACTACAATTACATCGAAAAAAGCTGAATCAGAGGCTTCTATAGCCTCTTGACACGTACGTGCATTATAACCAGGCTTACCGTATACACCACAGCACCGAACCTTCGTACGAGCCCCCCCTACACTACCACTATCCGGCTCCTTTTCTTTCGCCACCTCCCCAACCACGGCCTTCTGGTCTAGTAGATCCTTTGTATCTTACACCGTAAGCGATACTCTAAGCTGTACGTGTGTTCTTTTGGCTCTCCGGCGCTTGCTGAGTGCCTCGTTGGCCTTACGGAGCGAAGAGACTTCGGAGCATAGGAAAGCTACCTTATGTATTACAGCTATCGTGCCCTTGGTAAGCTGGTCTACAGTAGCCAACATCGAGGTTAGGGAGCTGTTTTAATGGTTGGTAATGTAAGTCTTAATGAGTGTTGACTGTGAATCGATGTGACGGATCGATTCTCAACCACACTCTGAAAGGGTTTACTGAAGGTATGATGTAAGGGTTGTGATCCGGTGAAGCCAAGAGGTTCACAACGAGATAACGAACTGGTCTCAATGTTTACAGCGTCGTGCAAGTTGCAATGAACAAGTTGTATTGCTTACTGGAGAACTCCTAGAGTCCTCCAGAACGAGTGACTATATACTATCTAGAATGACCGGCTCGCTGCTGCTCGCCTGGCTACCATAGTGTACCTGATCCTGTGGTAGCCTGTGGTAGCCTGTCTACCCAGGTCTACCGTGATCGCTTGTGTTCGCCGGCTACCCAGTGCTACCGAGCCTCCTCGGGCCGCGTCTCACGCGACCGTCCCGATCCTGTCCGGTCCATACCGGATGGGTCTTTAATCGCTTGACCGTGGAAGGCTGACGGACAAGGCGTGGAAAAGCAATCCCCGTGATTTATGCTCTGGAAAATACAATTGGACAATAGGCCCTTTCGAACCTTGCGTAGCAGGGAGACGTCCTTGTCATAATTATCGAGCAAAATGATACCCTAGCCCGAACGCAAATGACGAAACGCATGTGAATCCAAGGCTTTCCCCAATCCCTCCTGACCACTCAGCTCGGTATTGGTGCCGTTGTCTCCGTCCTAGGCCTGTCGGCCTTCGTCTGCGGCATCCTACGGTCGCCGTGCACGCACAAACAAGACAAGCTCTTAAAGGGCAGCCACCAGCGGGTGTATTCCTCGCAACCACCAGGGCCGCAGCTAGTGTTAGATATGGAGCATCTGCGTCATATTATCCGGCAAAGCTAAATACCGGGGATCGGTGGCAGGGGCGGGGGTTGACGCGGCGAACTGTGCAGATCGACGACACTCTCACTTACTGCCAAGTAGACACGGGAATTACCCACGTACCCCCAACCGAAATGGGGTGGGTAGAAGATATGGGTAGGCAACGAATTCTTGGGTTCGGGTTGGGTTGGACCTATTAGTGATTGTTTATTTGGCAGATAGTTGCTCTAAAACTCGAGATCTATTTCAGTAATCAAATTTCAAGAACCTTACGGATTGTATGCAGCCTCCCTCATCAAGGGGGACTGAACTCTTTGTTTAAGTCACTGTAATTACCCCATATAATATAACCCGACCCCTACCCACGTTTCTGGGTATCTCCGGACTCAACCCATATAAACCCAAACCCATATGAACCCAACCCATATGAACCCAAATCCACATGGGTACCCAAATGGGTATGGGTTGTTGTTGGGTCCTACCCACACGGGTGGGTACCCACAGGTGATTTTCTCTCGCCGCAAGAGAAAAGGGAATACATGTGTAAATCTGTAATTGCATAATAATCTGTCTACTTCTACTCTTCCTCAGGCCTCCGTCCGATCATACAAACCTGATCCAGCGCATGGTACACCCCCTTGTCAATAGCCGCATCGACCTCCCCGCGCACTCTCTCCAGCCGCTCCTTCGTCCACCCGCTCCCTTCAGCACCCACAAGCGTCTCCAAACAACCCAAATAACACTCCATCACGTTCCGCGTACCCTTCTCCCGGATCTGCAGCGTCGGGTCCTGGATCCGATCCGTTGAGAACACCTCTTCGTGCACATCCACCAACCCAGCCGACCGCCAGAGTTCTTCCCTCTTCACATCTCTCGCTTCGCGCACCATAAGCCCAATCACCAACTCATCCTCACCTTCCCCTCCTGCAGTCCCATCCTCTCCTGTACCCCTATCAGTACCCGTACCCCCGGTCTTATTCCCATTCTTGGTCTTCCTCCCCACCTCCCGAAAAGGCTCCAACCCCTCCCACACCTCCCGAAACACCCCCTTCCCCACCTTCGCCGTCCCCGCAACACTAGGCACAGAATCATACACCCGAAAATTACACGACTCAATCCACTGCACCCACCCCGTGGCCGGCTTCACCAACTGTTTCACGTTTCCCAATACATCCTTCCATTGACCGCGTGTCATGGCGCTGCTGACGAAACGCGCCGCGACGAGGTCGTAGGTGGCGAGTTCCGGGGTGGGGAAGGGGTGGTGCATGTCGTGCGGGAGGAATTGGATTGTTAGGTTGGGGTGGGATTTATGAAGAGCGGTGAGGGCTGCGGCGGTGTGTCCTGTGGTTGTGGAGGGGGGGACGAGGTCATAGCCTGTTAGGAGGGCTGGTAGGGAGGGCGGGAGGTGAGCGGCGATGTCGAGGAGCCAGGCGCCTGTGCCTGTGCCGATGTCTGCTATTTTGAGGGGGGTTGAGGGGGTGAATGTAAGGGTGGAAGAAGATGGGGGGTTATCGTTGGGGGAGAGGAGGATGGGGATGAGGGGGTGGACGAGGAAGCCAAGGGTTTGGGTGGTGATGGTGTGTTGTTCGTCGAGTCTGATGTGGTTAGAAATGAAACGAGGGCTGAGTCAATATTGAGTGGAAGAGGGGGGCGTACCGTTCGGGGATCTCCTCAATGACAAGGTAACCCTTGTCGTCAGCGTTACTAGCGGTCATGGTTACGGCGGCTGTTGAAAGTTGCTGAGTTGTTCCAATTGAGAAGTGTAGAGAGAAAGGATTGGAATAATTATGCAGTTGGATGTGGTCCGGCTTTATGATTCAGCAAGCCGCCCCACTTCAAGACCAAGATCACCAAGTCGGCGTTAGCGTGCCGGTAATTTCCAACAATGTCTTGGGCATTACACGTATCAAGTTTTATTGGACTGCTTCAAATTCTAAATTCATCATACCTGCCATTTCAAACGCAAAAGACAAAAAGCTCACTGCTCACTCGGTCCCCTCTTGGGAGGGGGAGGAACAGCTACGAAAACCCGATGGTTTTACTTCGTGCGCCACAGACAGGAATCGAACCTGCGAGCGCGGGAGTGGAGGGCACAGTGTACCCAGGCCCCCCCCCAACTGCACTATTCGGTAGTTTGGGGTGGTACTTGGGGGAGCGTTGGAAGGAGCTCCCGAACCCTGGCTTATAAAAGACTGCAAGGAAGGAAGGCACGATGGAGGCCTTGTGGTTTCGGACCTTGAAAGTTACAGAACGGTGCGTAATGACGAGGTTGCAGGTAAAGCACACACAAATCAATTCAGCCCTCACCTGAGGTAACCCACCTGCAGCACCGCACTCTTCAGCACTGCACGCTTCATTGGCCGGACCTCCGCTTGATCAACGCCATGAGGGAACTCAAGGCTTTCATGCCCAATGTGGCGGCCTCAATCACTCCTCTCGGATTGTGTTTTCTCCTCCTCAAAAAAGAAGCCACGTTGTCGTTGGATAGTTGGACTCGCATTATCTTTTCGCAATCCGAAATCTTCCAAATGAAACATGCGCTAACCCTAACCCTTCCCCTTGAGTCCAACCAAGTCAAATCACTGCAGCGAACATGGCCTACCCTGATGTCTACCGCCCTTTAGCCCCCCAGAACATCCGTGTCTTTGAGCTCGACCCGGCGCAGTCACCGTCCGATCCCATCGTCGGCCGGCTAGCCCCACAGCCTATCGATGGCGAGGCCTATGAAGCGGTCTCGTATGTCTGGGGCAACACCAAGAACCGTCGCACCATCACCATCGACGGCGCTACGCTGTCGGTGACGGCCAGTCTGCACGGGTCTCTTACAGCATTTCGGAATTATAGCGTTGTAGCCTCTGAGGACGACGATAATGCGGGTGAAAAGAAACCAGTAGCGAAACGACGCAGACTCTGGGCTGACGCGTTGTGTATCAACCAAGACGATCTCTCGGAACGGACGTCGCAGGTTGAGCTGATGGCGCAGATCTTTGCCGGGGCGGAGCGCGTGTTGGCGTGGCTGGGATGGGAAGAAGGTGAGGAAGGACGACAACACACACGCGATGCGATCCGGTTTGTGCATACTTTTATGGAGGATCCCGTGCGCGGGTTGAGCGACGCCAGGGTGCTTTTGCATCATGCGGGGGATGATGATGAGGGGAAGATTCGGTATGAAGAGCAGGAACGTCACTGGGCGGCTGTGAAGTTCTTTTTTGAGATTGAGTACTTCCACCGGACATGGATTGTGCAAGAACTCGGTCTCGCGCGCGAGGCCATCTTACACACAGCTCTTCGCGAATCGGCAAACGCAAACACGGCCCTGGAAATGGACACCGTCGACTGGCCCCTCGTCGGCCAATTCGTACGCTTCCTCGACTACCGTGGCGCCTCGCTCGTGACCCACCTCGGCCTGATGTCCTGGGTGCCGCACCACATCCTCATGGTCTGGGAAACCAAGCCTGACGGGACGCCTGACTGTGACTTTCTCACGGGCATGCACTGGACGCGGATCCTAGGCGTGACTGATGCCCGGGATCGGGTGTTCGGTCTGCTGGGCCACCCACTAGCTGTGATGGACGGGCAGTTGGTGATTCACCCGGATTACACGGTCACCAGGGGGGTGGTGTATACCAAGCTGGCAGCCCAGTTCATCAACAAGACGAACAATCTGTACGTCGTCAACTTGGTTGACCACGAGACAGATCCGAGCCTTCAACCGAGGTCTTGGGACCCCGACGACGCGGGGAGAATGCCCTCCTGGGTACCCGACTGGCATAGCATCAACCGCACGACCCCGCTCGACTACACCATATCTGCGGCGCCTTTAGAGGACGGCAACATCCAGATCGTCGACCCAACTACCGGTGACGAATCCCACGTAAACACCATCGGACAACCCAGCACCCCGCTTCCACAGCTCCTCGTCTACGGCTCCATCGTTGACACCATCGCCTCGGTGTCTACACGCATGGAAACCACCGATTTCCCCATCACCCACCTCGCCCGCGAGCGCGCCAAGACCAACCCCTTCTGGCTGGACCGCATCTGGACCGAAGTGCTTTGGTCACGTTCTTCTTCCGGTGAATCCGGGCTGGGAAAAGATGACGACGACGCCCAAGCCGCGCTGGAATTACTTGAATCCCTGTCCCTGGCTCTTCCACTGGGTACGATGGAGCCAGACGAGCCGCGAAGCAAAGTCGGTCCTCGACACACACGGGAAGAAAATGACCGGTCGTTTGCGGCCTACGTGCTGGCGTATCATGAGTTGTGGGTAAAAGCCAAGGCAGCGGGGGAACAGCTTGAGTCCAACGCAGGCGATAACAACGACAAAGATAATGGCATTGAGGAACAAGACGATAAACCTGATACCCCAGCAACCGGGGGCCGGTCTGCGTCATCCTCTTACATACCCACCTCCTCCCTGCTCACCACTCTCCCCCAAATAGCCCAATCCGAACTCCGCCGTCGTGCCGAGAACTCATCACCCCAAGACTTCATCGAGTCCATGACCTGGCCGTCCATGTGCCGCGTCATCTACCGCACGACGTCAGGACTAGTGGGGATGGGATCACGCGTCACGCGGCCGGGGGATCTGGTCTGTCGGGTGCGTGGGTCGGGGGTGTTGATGACTGTGAGGCCGGGGGACGGGAATGGACAGTCAGGAGGGTTAGGGGAGGGACTTGATGAGGCTGGTGGTGGTGGTTTGGAAGGGAAGAGGGAAGTGAGAGGTGCGTTTATTGGGCCGACGGTCGTGCCTGCGAGGATGGAAAGGGGGAAGTGGGAGGACCAGGAACAGGCGGTGCGTTTTCGTTTGGTGTAATTGGACAGATCAGGTACCAGAAGTCTTGCCGTTACTACTTGGGCTTTGGCAAGGGGGGCCGGAGGGAAACTGTTGTACAATTGACTTCAGCGAGTAGGTGGGCAAGTGGAAGGGGTTAATTAAGTCAGGCCAAGGCTACAAAGGTCTAAATCTATGCAATCGAAGGCTTCAGGCTTCCCCGCGTTGCTATCCGCGCATGTAAATAGGCCGGCTTGACAAAGAACATGTTCTTGCCAACCAGCGATTCGTCCTTCGTCGGCTTCCTATCCTGGTTGACAAACTCGACGTCGTAGTCGCGGACGAGGACCGGGATGACCTTGTTGATTTCCAGCAGTGAGACGTTCTTGCCGATGCACGTTCGAGAGCCCATCCCAAACGTGAAATAGCTGTCTTCATTAGAGTTCTTGACGAAACGGCCGGCGCTGTCGATCCAACGCTCCGGCCGAAACTCGTCAGCGTCGGGCCCGTAGATGCTCTTATTGGTGTTGGCCACCCAGCTGTTGACGCCGATGTTGGTCTACCAGAAACAAATTGGGATAGTTAGTACCTAATTATCAACCGTTCCCACGAAGGGGTTGGGTGAGTAACACCTACGCCTGCGGGAAAGAATTGGCCGCTTATTACGGCCCCGCCCTTGGGCACCTCCCTCCAAAGAGGCAAACCGCTCGCCGGATTGACCCGCGTGGCCTCGTAGATGACTGCTTGAAAGTACGGGAGCTGCTGGACAGACTGGAAGGTCGGCGTGCTGGCCAGGCCTGCGCCATCGATTTCCTCTCGGAGCTTCCGCAGCACTCGCGGGTTCTGGAAGATGTAGAAGGCGATGCAGCTGAGTGTGATGGCAGTGGTGTCGCTGCCGGCGCCGATGTTGGCCCCGGCGTTGAGCGAGATATCCCAATCCGTGATGCCCTTGGGGTTGTTCTCGCTGCGCTGGGCGTCGATGAACTTCTTTACCATGCAGATTGGACCGTCTGCAGGTAGACCATCCGGCTCGCGCCGCTTGAGTTCAATCTTCTCGTTGGCGAATCGCTGCTGGTAAACCTCTTTGCCCCCGGCTAGTAAACCATGCAGGAAATGCACCACCGGCATGATCCAGGGGAACACGCTCAGGAACGTATGAACATGCAAAATGACGTCGAGCGTCTGCATCAGGTCGGCGATATCCTTGCCCTCGGTCAGGAACCCTAGACGATCACTGAACTGGGGAGGAGGAGGGGGTTCAGTTAGTCGCTCATTTAGGCTCGCAGTCTTGACATGGGAGATTGGAGCCCACCTACCGTGATCATGGAAACCACATCGAACGCGTAGCAGCGAAACCAGTATGCCAGGTCGATCTCACCCTTGGACGCCTCGATGGTGGCAATGTGCTTTCGGAACAGCGCAATGCACTCGTCCACGTACGGCTCGTACGACACCAACGATGACATGGAATACATGGAAGCTACTTTTCGACGCATCGCGGCGTGCTTGGTCGGATCCCGCTCGCTGAACAGATTCGACAAGTTGGGTCCCACATGCCATGCGTCGTATGACTCGCCCTTGATCCACGGCGCGCCGTATCCGTAGATAGTCTTGTGCGTCTCCGGATCATCGATGGAGAAGTAGCCGGGCATTACCTGCACGATCGGACCTATAATAGCAGGTGGTTGGCAAGTCTTGTCCACACTTTAAACGGCTCTAGGTAATAACCACTAAGAGTGTTGAACTTACCATACTTCTGATGAAGCTTCTTATTGGCAAGATGGAAATCGTACTTGGACACCTTCCAAAGGTACCACCATCGTGTGTACTTGGCGAGGAGAGGACCGGGAATTTTGTGGCTCCAGGAAATAAGAGGATGAAGCAGACTCCACGCAATGAGAGATAGGGCGCCGTATGCTGCGAGCTCTAACGTAGACAATGAACCGAGAGCCATTGTGCGAGGTTAGGCCGGCCCGTTCGGTTCCGGTGTGCTGGAAAGGCGCTCTGGAGTGCAGACGAAGGCTGCTGAAAAAGGGGTTGGGTGTTCAAGTGAGGTAGTACCTGAAGGTTTACACGTGATGAAACATGCAGATGCCCTTGCATACAAATGGTTTTCAAGCTTGCTAGGTACGCGGCTCTCAGTTCGCTAAATAGGTTTATTTGAGATGTTGCTCAAAGTCATGAGCTAGTGCGGTAACATCACCCGTGAATTACACTGCAGAATAGATTGATAAGCACCCTCTTCTTCCGGAGCCGTGTGTGTCCAGGTACATTACCTTACCCACGTAGGTATGTCGGCCCACTCCACCTCGGATTCCGATGTGGGAATGATGCTGACTGGGAAGTCAATGATAGTTGGTCATTCACGGTGCGAGATTCGGGTAATTATCAGTCGTGGCTTCGGACACCGCCGAACTCATAAGCTAGCAGGCTTCAGATATTGAGATTTATAACGAATGATTTAACTCAGCATGGCGTGCTGAGTATGGACTATCGCAGAATGCCAACGCGATGCGGAATGCCAACTTCATGTGCTCTCTGTCCCAAAGCGAGGGCTTTTGGGGAGTAAGTTGAGCAATTGTCCACCAAATTGAACATTCTATCCAGCCTCCGCCGCACATGTTCCGGCAAGTCCATCTACAATCTACAGGGCCGTTTCCTTCTGCTTAATTTCCACACCCGGATGAGCAGCATCACCCCCGTCATTGGCCTTGATTTCATCGGCACTAGCAGCCCCGGTTCCATCCGAACCCGCTGCATCCGCAGCCTCCAGTTGCTGAAGTCTCCTGTTAAACAGGTTAGTTAGATCGTCGTATCGGAGAAGCCGTCACCGTGGCAAGCTGCAAACTCACCTTTTCTCGTCTCGATCCTGGAGGAACTTCATTGCCGGGATGATAATCAAACACGCCGCGCCCATGGCTGTTGCTGTGATGAAGCCCTTATGATACTTGGGCGCATCCACCTGCTGCCACACAATCAGAGGCAGCCATGCATTCACCATGCTCACCATCGAGTTTGTTGTTGCGAGCACGATGGCACGCTTCTCCGTGTCGTCCGTGCAGATCTCATTGGCCCAACTGTGGGATTAAAGAGTTAGGGAGTTGTTTCGGATTGTCGGTCTAATCATGAGAGAGAAGGCTTACGTGAAGATAATGCCGCTCAGCCCAACATGTTGCGCCTGTAGGTAGTAGCATACCCATTTCCAGCCCTCTGAAATGTCCCAGGCGGCGAGGGAGCTCCAGAAAATCACGTTGAGAACCTGCCGAGAAAAGCATGAGCTTCCAGTTCTGTCGGACTCACAGTATTCTGCGTAAGTAGAACAAGAAAGAAAGTAGGCAACAAACCGAGCCAAAAAGAAGAACCTCCCATCGCCGACCGCGAAGGAAGGTATCCGAGGCCCACGCGTAAGCCAGCGCAGAAACAACCTGAATGGCGTACTGCCCAGAAGGGTACAGGTTAATCTGAGCGACCGTGTAGGTGGGATCCTTATGATATTTCAGGTATTGCGGGAAGATCGGGGTGCCGCCTGTGGCGCTCATGCAGCTGTCGGGCAAGTCAGCATTGGTAGATAGGTACAGTTTTGCACATGGACGGGCTGGATGGGCAGAGGACTTACATGTAGTACAACGGCAATAGATAGAGTGGCCAAGACGTCAGGACGTTGATGACCTTCGCCTTTGTGAATGCCGCTCGCGGCTTGCGCTCCTCGAGCACCATGCGATGCTGAGCTAGCTCAATTTCCTGTGATCACAAAGACGTAAGTGTTTCAGGTCGAAAATTGCGACGGACCGGTAAAGCACCGGTGAGGGAGTCACGTACCTCCTTCTTGAAGATTTTCTTATTGCTGCCGGTTTCGGGCAAGTCGGGCAGATAGAAGAAGCTGATGACCGCTATCGGAAAGGAGATAACCCCGTCCATGACAAAGAGCCTATTGCCAAAATTCGAGTCAGACGTGGTGAGTTCAGCATGTTCAAGAGTTAAAATGGGCCTTACCATTTCCAACCGGGCAGCCCACCGCGCCCTCCCAGGTTGATAACACCGGTCATCAAGAAGCCGGAGAAGAGCTGAGCAGCCGAGCCGCTGGCATTCAAGATACCGGCACGCTTGGCCATCTCATCCTTGCGGTACCATGAACCAATCATCCAGTTCAGACCTGGGTAGTACCCGGCTTCGAACAGACCTATGCTGCTGTGTCAGAACCCACTTCACATAATTAGGGGTCAAGAATCACTGTATGGGGAAGAACGAACCGAGGAAGAACCGCAAGACATAGAGCTGAGTAGTGGTCTTGGTCGCCGCAAGGCAGAAGGTCAGGAGAGTCCAGATGATCTGTACCCGGCCATGGCGTCAGCTGAGACACTTTCTGCAGCATTACACGTGGAGGATAGTGTGTCTTACCTGGAGAGTGGGGATGAAGATGGACGGGCGGACTCGCGTCAAGATGATATTAGCGGGCACCTCGCCGAGGATATAGCCGACTGTGAAAGCCGTCTGGGCGTAATTCAGCTCGTTGCCAAACATGCCAAGGTCCTCCTTCCTGTGATGCCATCTCTCGTTAGCATCTTCTGCGAGTTGGCATGCCACATAGTGTCATCAATTTCAATTAACGATGAGGACCTACATTCCGGAAACGAAGGCATTGGTGAGATTTGCCTGGCTGAGATACTTGGTGAAATATCCTGTTGTGCGGCGCGAATTAGCAATGCTCCGTCGTGCCATGCCCCCCCTTCTCCGCCATGTATGCATGAGTTATTCGTAAGATTTGGAAGAAAAAGACATACCCAGGCAACCCAACCCCAGCAACGCAACGTCCAGCTTGAACAACAGATGTCGCTCTTCCCGAGGCTTGTCCAGTGTATCCCAGACATGGCGTCTCCAAGTCTTCTTGGGAACTTCTTGCACCTGGACGTTGGTGGCCTCTTCGTCTTTGGCCATGTTTGTGATCATAAAAAAGCGGCAGTGTGTGATTGGGTCGGCTGCAACCTTCCGTGTTCTGCGGCACAGGATAAAGGGTCTCAGTAAACGGAACCCGAGAGCTCTGTCGGCATTTTTGAAACCAGTCGCATTGGGAGGCTCTCAGGAGCGGTCCGGCCGCAACTATTTGACAGGGCGATGCCCCTTCCAGACTTTGCGAATGAATGCCTGTTCTTCGAGGACTTTCCTACTGAACTCCTGGCTCGTGCTCCTGTGCCAAAATGACGAAAAGCATGTTGGCTCGCCACTTTAGCACTTTGGGGCCTGGATCCCGCCCGATCTGGAAATTTCAGTCCGGGGCAAACCAGACTATCGGAAGCGACGTTATCAGAAACTGGGGTGTTTGCTCGCCCTTGAAACCTCTTATCGAATAATTCGCTCGCGGTTGCGGCTTCCGATGGCGTATTTACATCCAGAACACACTATTTTCAGCCAGAATCAATATTGCTATATCCCCTGCATCCAACGACGACAAATCCATCTGAGTACTTGTGATTGTGTCCCGTTTCGTGAACGTTTCTTGATTTATTTTTGAATTTTTAATTCTCTGCCCGGTTTCTCTCCAACCTCTCACCTCATCCGAGCCCGCATCCCGCAATGCCCTCCGCCACGCCAGCAGCCCTGCGCATCGCCGTAATTGGCACCGGCCCCGGCGGGCTGTCCTCAGCCATCGCCTTGTCCGAACTGCCCAATGTGAGCGTGCGCGTGTATGAGAGCGCCCCTGCACTCAAGACCCACGGCGCGGGCATCAGCGTCAACCACAACGGCTTCAAGGTGCTAGAACTACTGGGAGCTCGTGAAGGAGTCACGGGTGCCTCGACGAATCCCACTGTGCAGAGGTAGGTTTTGGTGCCTTTTGAAGGAACCAGGTTCCGGCATCAAGCCTGAGCGAGGAGGAAGGGGAGGAAAGAAAAGAAGGAGACTAAGTTCAAATTTGCTGTCATTAGAAATGCTTATACGGGCGAGATTGTTGATCCTGGGGTTCCGCACGACCCAGAGGATAAGTACGAGGCTCGCAGGGTCCGGCGGCTTGTTCTGCAGGAATCACTGATTGCTCGGGTCCCTAAGGGGCTAATAGAGTTCAACAAGAAGCTGGTTTCGCTGGAGGACCTGGAAGATGACGGCGTGCGCGCGATATTTGCGGATGGCACTGACACAACTGTGGACCTTGTTGTGGGCGCCGACGGAATTCGATCTGTATGTTTGTTTGGACCCAATCCTTTAATACCGTCCGGTGTTGATAATTTGCGCAGGTCGTGAGGAAACACATGGTTCCAGATTACCCTCTGGCATTCACACGTAAGCACGATAAAACTCATACTCCGCTCTTCCACATGAAGAAGATGTGAGTCCCTCAAAGGCAAACCAACGTATCTAACATTTCCCCTCGGGCAACAAATAGACCAGGTTGGTTGGCGCACTTTGGTGCCCGTGGAATTACTTCAGCATATCCCAGACCTCCCCCTGACGACGACGAGTTGGTGGCGGGGAGCGGCCAAGTCGGTGTGGCTGTCACCGGTGGATGAGCTGTCCAATTTGAAACTGATGGAGTTCTCCGTCCGTACCTACAACGAGCCGTATATCGAGGGGAAGACTGTCAGCTGGGGAATGCCAGTCAGTGGCGAGAAGGTCCTCTCGAGATTCAAGGTCTGCCCCCTCAGGTTCTCAATCATGACACCGTTTTTGATGGGCTATGAAAATGAGGTATGAAAATTTAATTAACGTGAGAGCTACACACAGGACCTGGACCCAAGGCTCGTTGAGGCCATTAAGCAGGTCCCCGAAGGTGGTTGGATGGAGTTCGCATCGTATGCTGGACCATCTCTCGACACCTCGGTAGCGTGGGGAAAGCTCGTGTTAGTCGGCGACTCTAGCCATCCTTCCGCCGGTACGTAATGGTCACACATCCACACATTCACCGATGGTTTCACGGGAAAGCTGATCCGAAAGCCGCGGGTTAGGCGGCTTTGGCTCTGGCTCTGCGTTTGCCATGGAAGATAGCTGGATTCTCGCACGCGCCATTGAGCACGCTCGTAAGTCCACAGACACCGTCGCCGACACGGTCGTGGAGGCGCTACGCATCTTTGACACAATAAGAGTTCCATTCTACAAGAGCATGTAAGATGTTTTACATTTCACCTTTTGGGCTCTCCCATTTTCCCCTTGCTTGACGACGGGAGGGCAAGACTGACGTGGGTTACTTTCACTCTCTCCCTTAGGAACGCCTTCCGGGAATCCCAAAAGGAGAACATCAAGAAGATGGCGCAGGCAGTGTGGGACGACTTCGACGCCGAGCTGCGCAGAAGGTTTGCCTCTGATGGTCTGGGCGTTAAACGGGGGCAAGGCTTCTTGTCCTTTGTTTACTCGGGTGACATTGGAAAGACGTGGAAAGAGTTTGTTGAGAGTGAAAAGGCACGCAACCGGGGTTGAGAAGTCATCATCATGACTACCGAGATCCCTAAGTGAGATAGATTTGGTCACAAAGGCCGCATAGGCGGTCTAGTTTATTTAGCGATCTAATTTATTTAACCACCTGGCCAACAAAGTCCGTGATAGCCTGGAACGACCGCTTGCCATCAAAGTGAAAGTTAAGCAAGTGACCCCCATCAAATGAAGCGTCGACATCAACCCTGGGCGAATTGGGGAACGTAGCAGCCACGTTGTCCAGAAGACCATCGCAAAACCCACCGCACGCTGTCAGATCGTAGCGTCCCTGGACGACCTGAACAGGAACCTTGATATTCTCCAAGTCGATAGTCAACGTCCCGGCTGTGACCAAATCGCCCAGCGCAATGGGCTGCTGCGTCTCATACAGCCACTCGGCCACCTCTCGGTCAAAGTACGGCGTCTTGAACCCCCCGTACGACGCCGAGTACAAGTCGGCGGGCACGACATACCCGCGCGGAAGACCGGACCATTTCTTGGGGTCCGCCTGAGCTGCAATGCGCACCTGGCTACCGCCTGTGAACAGGCTCAGCCAGTTGTACAGGCCCGAGTAGCCCGTGAGCACCACAGCGTCGCCCAGACCTGAACCACCCGATGGCGATGGCTGGCTCGTCGCTGCCTGCGCGGCGAGGACCAGGAAGGCGCCGAACGAGTGGCCTACGTGCACTACGCGGTGGACGGCGGTGCCACTGGTGTACGGGGAGTTGGGTTGTTGTAGTAGCTTGGTTAATGTGGTTAGAATCTCCACCTGGGGCGCGGCCTGGGCATGGGAAATGGGATCGGGTCTGCAGGTGGTCGGTCAGTCAGATCTGTCTTGCTGAGCCAGGCTTGCGCGCCTGCTTGCTGCTTGAGGGGTGGCGAGTCTAAAAGTCCACTGCTAATTACGTACCGGGTGGACCTGCCTGTTCCCAGGCGGTCATAGGAAAAGACTGAGTAACCTTCATCCAGGGCATGCTGAACAAACGAGTATTTCTCGGAACCTTTAAAAACAGGGTCCCAGTAGCTGTAATAGTTCCGCCTTCTTTAGCACCCACACTCATGCAACAGAGAGGAGAAGGACACCGTAGAAGAGAAGAACCAACCTGCGATCTACCATGGTGCCGGCTGTAAGAAGCAGGACGGTCCCAGAGGCGTTGCCGGCATTGGCGGGAGCACAGAACGTAGCGCCGATGGTGTAGTTTGTGGATTCGGAGTGATTGCCGCCAATGGGCTTGAAGGTCTGCTGTGAATCACGTCGTGTCGAGTTGATTATGTAGTCGAGAAGGTCCCAATCGGTGTTGATAGAGAGGTTGATATCGTAATACGGGGCCGTGACACTAACGGGAATGAGGAAGTCTCGACATTGGTGCTTAGCAGCGCCTGGATTTGCCGCCGCTGCGGATGACAGCAGCAGCAGCTCTAGGGCGAGAAGGGTGACTGGCAGCATCGTCGCTGGTGATGGAAGACCTTGGACGTTAGCTGGTGCAGATAGCGAATTCCCGAATTCCCGATGTATGGATGAGAACCTTCTTGGATGTCCAGTGACAGGAGCAACCTGAGACTATAAATAGGTATCTGTCGCAAAGCTTCGTGCAGTTCAAGAGGAATGAGTTGCTTAACGTACTCAAGTAACGGACTGCCTTAATACTTTGTCCTGGTCAAGTCACCCACCAGCTTCTTGATGGTCAGCAGCAAAGAGAAAGACGGAAATTACGAAAAATTCATCACTTGGCTCCTAGCTGACGTACTGTGCAATCAAATAGGGTTTGGCGGAGTTTCCAAGCTCATGCTTCTTCGTGGGCTGAACCTTGGAGCCCCGATGTGGCGGGACACCCCCCCCCCCCCTTTGCCCCTTGCCCCTTTACCGCAGCTAGCACCGTTCCGTCCCAGTTCCCCGTTCCCCGCCAGCCCCCTTTTTAGTCACCCAATCAGCCGAAGTCCGAGGCCGAGCCGAATGCACCGGGACGCTCGCAAAACCCGGCCCCAGCTCCCTTAATGACCCCCGGCACTAAGCCGGTCCGGTCGACGGCAAGTAACGATGCAGCCCCGGGAAAAAGTGCCTGAGCAAGCCCATCAAAATACACAAGGGCGTACCCCGTGGGAAAGCAGCACGGCCGCCGCCGACGTTAACAACCCCGACGTTACGCATATCGTAGCTCCCCTCAGCGTCGTCGGCAGCCTCAATCATGCCCGCGGCCAGGTCCAAGTACGACAGCGGGCTCGACTCCTCAGTAAAACTGAGTCCGTGTCCGCGCTGCCTGTCGACTGATAGCGCGCCGGGCTTGATGAATATGCTCGTGATGCCCGAGTCCTCGTGCGCCGCGCGGAGTAGGCGCTCGGTCGCGCGCAGGTCGGCGTAGACGTGGGATGCTGACCAGAGTAAGACGCGTCGGAGTAGGTAGGGGGTGTTGCGGGAGAGGACGTCGTCGATGGTTGCTGAGGAGAGGAGGATGAGCTTTGGGATCGAGGACGGTTGTCCCAGGGTCTTCTTCTTCTCCTCCTTTAGAGCAACAAGAACGCTCGTAGCCATGTCCTGTCCGACGCGGAACCCCGGGACGTTGTCGTTGGTGGATGTCACGAGGAATGCTGCGCGGCAGTTTCGGAGGCAGGACGCCAACAACGGGACATCGTGGATGCTGCCTTCAAAGATCTGTACTCGGGGGCTTGTGATGGCTTCGGGGAGCACGCGTGCGAGTTTCTCTCGGTTGCGGCAAAACGCGTGCACATGGGCGTCCGGGGAGGAGAGCAAGAGTTGAATGATTGCGGTGCCTGTGTTCCCGGTTGCGCCGAGGACGGCGTAGGTAGGCATCTTGTCTTGTCTTGGTTCTTGTCGGGCAAGTCTTGGCGGAGGGGACGGGACGTGGTGAGTAGGGTACATTACCTTAGTATGCGGTAGGCACAGAGGGGATTTTAATTCATTTTCCACGTGAGTTGGACGGGATCGATGAGACCTTGGTATACTCGTGTAACTCGTGTATTCCGCCGCCAACCCCCGACCCAGATATTAATTCTCACACAAACCTCGACTGAGACTGCAATGCGCCTGGTAAAATTTATTTTGTCATTGAGATTTGATGTTCTCGATTCAACTACCTTGGTCGGGGTTTTCCATTTCCTACACAACATGATGCAGAAAGGAGCAACGGGTCCATGGCTGGTAATTAGTCGACATCGGGATATTAATTACGACGAGCGGCACTCGGGAATGACCAGTGGCGGGTTCTGCTCGCCGACAAGAAGTAACAACAGACTACAAGGAGTCTCGGTTCATTGCAAATGAAAGCTAGCTAATTAGCAACAAACTCAACTGAGGTACTTAGGTAGCTAGCTAAGGTGATCATGGAGGCTCCTCAGCCCAGCACTGCATCCATAAGCCAAGACCTGTTTGATCGCTCCTGTGGTTGTTTATTGGCCCTGCTGCTGCTGCTGCTGCTGCTGCTCGCGTACAAAATTCTGAAACTTGGGAAAGAATTCCTTCATAAAAGCTGTGTCCACCATCTCCTCGATCTTGACGATATGCTCTCTGCTCTCATCAAATGTGAAGAAGACGGCATATTCGTTGTTCCACTCTCCGAAGGGTGTATTTCCCTTTGACAGGGCGTAGACGACTGCTTTGCCCTGCGTCGTGTCATGTACAAGGTTGTGGATGATTAACTGTTGTTAATATTCGGCCATGGCCATGGCAAATAGTTAGCACGGGCTGTTGTGATATCAACAATAATACATGATAAGAGCGCGAGGTGGGCAATGTTGGAGAAGTGCAGGAGTGCAGATGAAACAAGGTGAAGGCGGACCTCGTAGTCAGTGACGACCTTCTGAAGGAGTGGCAGAGTTGCCTCGACCTGCGCACGGGTCCGGGGTGGATGGCCCAAGGAGAAAGGCAAGGCGGCTTGGGTGTAGTCGTCGGACCAGACCTGGGCCATTTCAGCGGCAGACCAATTCTTCCAACCAGCCAGGAAGCGGGCGAGGGTGGCTTGCTGGACGTCTGCTGGGGTAGCCATTGGATGGTATTTTCTCAGTGCTGCAATCAGGTAATTTTCCGGGGGTAATTAGCGAGAGAGAACGAAACGCAACTAATTTGTTCCTGAGGGTTGTCTACTGCGGGTACATAGTATTTGCATTACGGCCAGCCCCGTAAGGTAAAGTCTACCTCGGCCGCTCGGCCTCTCTCCTCGCTAACACGATTGCGGACTTCGGGGGTAAATTGTCGCGATGGCGTCAGTTGCGGGAAACCCATGTCCGAGTCGGAATCGGCTATTTCAGGGAGTGACCGCCCTCCATCCTTCGCGCCCTTTCTTGTTGGGGTCTGGGTCTTGTAAGAACGGACCAAAATTTCCCCTTTCGACCACGGATCAGATGGCGTGCAATCTGCATTCATGGCGTGAATCAGTTCCGTCCTCGGAGTCGCTTCAAAGAACATGTTCGACGTCTGGAAGTTTCGGGTTTGCGTGCAGGCGAGATAAGAGGCAGTCAGCTGTACATACGGTAGCGAAGGTACGGGAACGAAGGTGTGTGTGTGTGTTACCATCCCGTTTCAGTGCAGGATTCATGGAGCATGAACCATGAACCATGAAACCCTGTGTAGACTTGTCTAGCCGGAGTGCCGGAACCTCTCAAACCGGTTGAAACTTAACGCCTAATGCTACAACCTCGTTGGTAGCCCCGGCCTTTGCTCGACTAACAACCACCAGCCTGCCTCCACCACCCTCTACGCTTTGTATGAGATCAACCACATCGCCCACATGCAGCATCGCACTGTTAGCGAGCTGCAGCAGAGCCAAGTCACATGCGCGGGCCACTGCCTCGACGCTGGTGTCCCGGTCCACGCTATTATCCACATCATCGGGCAGTAGCCGCATGGCGACGACGAGCGTCGCGGTACGATTCTCGCGCATGATGCTCAAGTGCGCTTGTAACTCAGCTGTTAACTCCGACTTGAGCGCCGCCCCCACGTTGGAGCCGGCCGAAGGAGGCGGAGGCAAGAGGTATGCCCAGTCTTGCCAGTGTAGCACGTACAAGGCTGCATGCCGGACGTTCTGGGGCTGCCCGGCAGAACGATTCTGCAGGATAGCGCCCGGGAGAGGTGGTGAAGGCGGCGAGGGGACTGTTTGGGCATGTGAGGCCGATGAATCCGATGGTGGTCCGCGCAAGAACTGGATGGTAATCTCCACTTGACTGCCGTATCGCGCTGCGAGATGCCGTGCCATAGTGGATGGGCAAGGCTCGTACGTGTACCGGTTGTTTCTGTGAAGGGGTCCGAGGGCCTGGATACCAGGGTGTGCGAGGACATGCCTAACGGTCAGCGGAAGCTCCGGGGAATACTATGGTACGGCGCTGATCTGGGGAATGCAGTCGTGTAGTACGAAGTTCGAAGTACGAAGGTATCAGAAGAGGAAGTATCAGAGGATGTTTCGCGGAATGGTTCCGACGTACCTCTACAATGCAAGCACTGCTCCATCCGCTCCAGTCCAGACGGGAGAGCGCCTCAGCCACGCCGCTCTCATGCGTCTCTGCCGACGAGCGGCGATATGCCGCCCACTGACGCTGCAACCTGGGCTGCTGTTCGCAAGCCACCGAGAAGGCCAATGGAACGGGACTGTTCTGCGTCTGGGAGATCAAGGAGAAGGCACTCTGCTCTGGGCCCCCCGGCTTGCCGTGCCGGCGCGTGGTGGCGGCCATGTTGAGTGCAGCGGGGGCCAAAGTGCCGGCTAAGAACGAGGCGGCATCGGCAAGAAGGGGTTCAGTGACGAAATCCGCCGACAGCGAGGTGTGCGCCACATGACGGGGATGTTCCGGCGGCTCACACAGGAACCCCGCCGTGCTCGCCATGCGAACGATGCGGAGGAGCACTGACTCGGGCACGCCCGTCAGGGCGGCAACATCTTGAACCGGCACACTGCCCTTGAGTGGAATGCAGGCCAGGACCTGAAACTCTCCGAGCCAATGAAGACAGGCGAGCAACTGGGTCTGCAGATCCGATGGAACAATTAGCCCGTCAGCAACTTAATTATTCGTAACTAACGTGATGTATGGAACTCTTGTGATTTTGCCAGACACTGCGTGGGATTTGTGTTTTGTCAAGGATGGGAAGGAGTACAGGACTGAGTACGTTCGTACTTCGGAAAGTGTGGGAGCAAGCCCCTGTTCAGGGGCCCCCACCCCTGACCTCTCTTGGCTCTTCCGAGCTTACCCGTCCCGCAGCGGAGGGTGCGGCCCGGATAGTGGGGGTTCTTGGGTTCTTGGGCGGGGGTCGGGCCGGGACTCTAGATCGGAAGGAGCCGGGCAGGTGCACAGATTGACGGATTGACGGATTGACGGAGCGCTGCACGTACCTGGTTGGCAAGTTGTTGAAGGAATTCCTTTGGTTGTCTGACCAAGCTTTGCAATTTGGTCGCGTTGCCGAGGACCACCCGCCTAGCCCGGTGAACGGTCTCAGGAGCCGTGGGGGCAACAAACAAGAAACCGCTCGACGTGTCCATGCTCGGGCTTTTGCTCGCACTTCTCGGATGTGCGTGTGCGTGTGCGTCCGCGTTCGTGTCGGGGGCCTGCCGGCTGTAGTAGTCGGCCAGGCTTTTGGCGGCACTGGCCAACGCAAGCGCGCACCTCTCGATCTCTGCCAAGCGCGAAAGGTCCATGATCGGACGGGCGGATTAAGGTTTGAAACTTTGGGATTTTACCGTTGTGGTTTGTTTCAGCTGGCCAGGATTGGGCGCGGAATGCCAGACCCACGGACACGATATCCCATTTATACCACTGTAGGTGCTTGCTACCCTACCTCTCGGTTACGAACTTCAGTTCAGGACTAGCACATATTCCTGGTATCATCGCAGCCATACATGGCATCACGTACCCGGTGGCGCAAACTGCGTCAGGTATGTACCTCGGCGTGTTATGACATCAAATCAAGCTGACAGGCCCCGTCTATGTACATACATGAACCGGCCGTTGCTGATGGCAAATCACCGGAGATAAGGTAGTATCGTGGCGCGACACTCCGATTCAAAAGTGCACGACAGCGGATCGGCTAGAAAGCTTACTTGGCCGCCAAGACGTCGTCATCGGCTGTGGTAACATCGCTGGTGCACTTCTGCAACCACCATCGCCTCCAGGCATTGCGAATCTGTGCTATCGACGCACGTTTGATGGATTCGGCCGGCGTCTTATCACCACAGAGAGCAATGGCACGCTGCTCATTTGCCCTTTGGGGTTTTTGGGGTGTGCATAAGTCGGAGTAAAGAATAATCTAAGTAGCACTGTAGCATCCATGAATTACCTGCGTTCCTCACAGTCCACAGTGATCACTCCACACCAGATGTTATTGTTGGCAGCTGTTGGCTCGAGTCATTTCCCATGATCCCATCTGTGACGACGAGAAGCAAGCAAGCAAGCAACAGTTGCAACACAACCAACACAACCAACACCAACATGGCCACGTTCCAGTTGGCCATGGCAACCATGCCAACCAAGAAGGACGCCGAGCCGACCAAGTTCAGAGACTCGTGCAACGCCTGCGCCGTGTCCAAGATCAAGTGCACCCGGACAAAACCCGTGTGCGGCCGTTGCACAAAACGTGGCTACCACTGCGAGTATGTGCCCACCAGACGCGCAGGTCGCAAACACCACCCTCGACCGCCACGGCAGCCGTCCGTGGTGGATGCCAATGGCGACAATGGGGACAACTCCAACAGCGAGGGTTGCAACAACAACAACAACAGCAACAGAAACAGCAGCAGCAGCAGCGTCCAAAGCAGCATTCAGGTCTTGATACCCACACCAACAACATCATCAGATCCAACAACGATCACGGCAGCCTCCACAGCGGCCACCACTGCGAGCAGCCAACAGTTTTCACTCTCTCTGGATCTGCCCATGACTGACCCCGACGGCACCATCGCCTACCCGTCGCCCTCGAATGCCTTCTCCGACGGCACGTCCAGCTCCACACCCACCGTAGTGACACTTCCGGCCTACGAAACCCTCGACCACCTTTCCTGGTGGCAGCTTTTCCCAGCAAGCTTGGGAAATGACGACGACGACTTGCTGGTGTCCCAAATGTCCTTTTCCATGCCTGAGACACCCAAATTTTCACCAGGCCAATTAAGTTACGGGCACGCGCGCGACGGCGCAAACTCCGCAAAGGCAAACCCGGCCAGTCTCGATGAAAATAACATGGTCGACCCGAGCCTCAGAGACTACCCCGTATTGCCGCTGCCCGATCTAGCTTTGTCAACGGTCCTCCGGAATAACACGGAACTCGAGGATCCGGACGGACAAAAGCTGCCCGAGGTCGCGTGGGAACCGGTATTATCATCGGCGGCGTCTTCCTCGGCGGTGTCTTCGGCGTTATCATCGTCGTCACTGCTATCAACCACGCTCACGGCATCACCACCACCGTCACGTTTATCAGTGTCATTACCTTCGTCACTCCCACCTTCTTCGTCGGCTTCAGCTTCACGAAAACAAAATACGCCGCCCCCTCGTGACGTGCCCTCGATCCACGACCCCTGTCCGCCGCGCTCACCACGCTCACTGGGGGGGTGTTGTCTCATCCGCGCCCTAGAGCTGCTCAAGAAGCTCTTCCCCGGGCTGGGCCCCGACTGCAACTGCAACTGCCAGAGCGATGTATCAGGGCCCGGGCATACCGGTACCGAGGACCCAAGGACAGAGACAGACACACTTCCAACCATCCAGCGCGTCATCGCCGAGAACAAGCACACCCTCGAGGCCGTCCAAGACATGCTCCAGTGCGCGTGCCTCGACGACAACAACGACGGCAGCAGTAACTATCTCCTGGCTGTCATCTCCCTGGTCGTCTTCAAAGTCCTCGCTTGGTACAGGGCCGCAGCCGTAGATGGGCAGGCCCCTGATGACCCCGCTGACGGTTCGCTTCTGGGCAATAATAACGCGCCGCCGAATGGGCATGTCGGTTCCGGGGTTAAAAAAGGGGCAACCACGAGCCGCCGGCGCTCTTCATGCTACACCGAGCGCGTCCTACATTCCCCAGCCGTCATCAACATCGACGGGTATCGGCTAGACGCAAGCGACGACGTCGACGGCACCAGCAGCCGGCCACGCATGGCTGCGCAGCTTGTTTTTAGTGAGTTGCATCGGGTGCAGCGGCTTGTTAATGTCCTGGCTGGAAGGCTTGGGAGTCTCAGTCGAGACAGCCGGGATAGGAACCGAAACAGTTTTTGTACCTCTGGGGGGGGCATCTCGGATATGCCGTCGACGTTTGCCTCGGCCTCGCCGGCGTGGTTCGGGAACTTGGAGCAGGATGTGAGAGAGCGTTTGAGGGCACTATCGTTGGAGATTGTCGAGATGCTGAGGAGGTAAGCTGTGTTTTAATTCCATCGTTGCCTGCGGGGGAGTATAGCATCCGGAAGTGGCGGTGAATGGATGATAGCAAGTAATTATTCGAGACTGTAATTGTTCTGCGCCGGCTCTGGAGCTCTCTGGATAGAGAGAGGTAGTCAGAACTAAGACACCCCGGGTTACTTATTCATCACCGATGGCTTTATTTGTATACTATTCTTAGAATTTGCTTCCTGCATGGTGTTCGCCAATTTTCTACAAAGGGGCTAGCTGCCCCTGGAATGCCCCTGGAATCGACCAAAACCTCGCCGAGGCCGCGGTCGTGGCGCTCCTGCTCAACTGCTTACCGCTCCCCATGGTGTAGTGCAAATATCCGTAGGTCGCATTCGGGGTCCGACATCTTGGAGCCAAGGATGAGGGCCAAGGATGATCAATACCGCAGCCCCGGTGGTGTTTCCGGGTCGGGCGACTTAGCGCTCCCGAGAACAGAATTCTTCGGGCCTAGGCAGTTCCCGCTGTCTTTCCCCTGAGTTAACTCTTTTCCCTGAGTTAACAGGTGGCAAGTAGTATGCAAGGGGCAATTTCATTTATCTGATCATTTATCTGAGGCCAATCCGTAGCCTCAGTGGTGTGCACCCCACGGGCCAACTGGAACACGAAAGCAACCCTACCTTACCCAACCCTCCCGTTCATCCCAAAAATGGCCGTCCTGCTCGCCTTGACGTGCTTGACGTCTTTAACGCTGTGTCACGCACACGCACTGACATTACCCAGCCGTCCCCATCCCGGAAGGGACTGCAGCAACGGCCCGCAAAGTCGTGGATGTTGGCGTGGCAAAGACTTTGACATTTTCACGGATTATGATCAAACTGTGCCTCCCGGAAGGCTCAGGGAGTACGAACTCACGGTTACTGAACAAACGTGGGCTCCGGACGGATACCTGTTCAATGGCACCGTCTTCAACGGACAATACCCCGGGCCGTTGATTGAGGCAGATTGGGGTGATACCCTGCGTACGACTCCCTATTTTGCTATCCTGGCAACTCCCCAGCTCCCGCCATACTAATTAATCGCCTCCTTGTCCTCTTAACCCTAACTCCCAAACCCGCAACCTGCTAATGTATGAGCTGTCGTGGCAGGTATCACGGTACATAACAACCTGACCAACTACAACGGCACGTCAGTTCACTGGCATGGCATTCGCATGCTGGAGACCAACTGGCAGGACGGGGTACCTGGTGTGACGCAGTGCCCGATTAAGGTTAGGACGAAGCACCCACCCACGCTGGAGAGAGGCTGGAGAGAGACTGACATCAAGTACATCCTACCAGCCCGGCTCGTCGCAGACATATGAGTTTCGAGCGATGCAGTACGGAACCTCATGGTATCACTCGCACTTTAGCCTGCAATGTAAGTTTATCCTCGAGAAGCCCAGCTGATGAACCAAATTATTAACAGCAACTTTAGACAGCAACGGGCTTCATGGTAGGTAACCGCCTGGATTATCCCCCTTAGCGTCACAAGGGCTGAAAATAACTAATAACTCATTTCCACCAGGCCCTCTCGTGATCCATGGACCGTCCAGCGCCAACTGGGACGTCGACCTAGGCCCCTGGTTGATCACCGACTGGTACCACGAGGACGCCTTCAAGTTGTACTACTACGAGATCTTCACTCCTCGCGCCGCTCCGCCGCAGGCCATGTTACTGAATGGGCACGGCAAGTTCAACTGCACCCCGGCGGCCAACGACACGCGGTGCACGGGAGACAGCAAGCTCTTTGAGACGGTATTTCACCACGGAACCAAGTACAAGATCGGGATCGCGCACACGGGAACCCTCCGGACGCAAACATTCTGGATCGACGGGCACAACTTCACCGTCATCTCGGCTGACTTCGTCCCCATCAAGCCCTACGTCACCAACGTCATCACCCTCGGGATCGGCCAGCGGTACGAGATCATCGTCGAGGCCAACGCAGATCTGAGTACCAGTAACGGCACCGACTTTTGGATCCACTCGCAGTACTGCGCCCTCCCAGGGGTCCTCGACGACCGCCTAGGCATAATCCGCTACGACGCCCGCAGCACGCGGGACCCTTACAGCCCACCGCCGGCCTACCTCGACCTGGGCTGCGCCGACCCGGAGCTCGACAACCTCGTGCCCGTTGTCTCTCGCCAGGTTGGCAACCGCGTCAACGGCCTGGAGCCGACCGACTATCTCAAGATGGGCCTGGAAGGCTGGCCCAACGCGAGCGATCCGGACAGCCGCATCCATAAGTGGGTGCTAAGGAACGTGCCCATGTACCTGAACTGGTCCGAGCCGAGCGTCGCGAAACTGCTCACCCTGGACAAGGACGACGAGCTGGAGCAGAGCAAAGGAGGCAAAGACGAAGACAAACACAACACCACCTCCCCCCAGTTCTCAGACCTCTTCCCAGCCGAGACCGAGCCCATCCTCCTAGACTACCCAACCGGCGAATGGGTCTACTTCGTCATCACCAACAACTACACACTAACCCCGACCGACCCCTGGCCACCACGCACACTCCCCCAATCCGTCCACCCCATCCACCTCCACGGACACGACATTTTGCTACTAGCACAAGGCGAAGGGCCCTTCGACCCAGCCACTGTTGTCCCGCGTCTCAATAACCCGCCGCGCCGTGATGTCGTTAATTGTCCGCTGAACGGGTTTGTGTGGATCGCGTTCCGGATTGATAACCCCGGGGCCTGGCTTATGCATTGCCATATTGCGTGGCATGCTAGTGATGGTTTGGCGGTGCAGTTTGTGGAGCAGCCGGGGAAGTTGAGGGGGTTGATGGAGAGGGCGGGGGTTGTAGGGGGGTTTGGGGAGCGGTGTAAAGAGTGGGATAGGTATTATACGACTGTGAACGAGGCGGTTGGGGCTGTGCAGGAGGATTCTGGTGTGTAGTTTTTTGAAGCGAAGGGTCGATTTCAGTGCGGGTCAGAGATATACTATATAGATTGAACAAGTGAATGAAATGAATCTTCGATGCTCTTACCATGGCTTTTCTTCGAAAGGGGAAAGCCTCCAAAAATAAAGCTGCTCGAGTTTCGATTGGATACTGCACTTGGACCTATCTGTGCTTCTATAAATGTGGTGTGGTGCATATGGATGGTGCTTGTTTGACAAAACTCTGGTGTTGTTATGGGTTGGAGTACCGGGATATTAGTTAAGGGAGTTACACGGGAGGACGAGATCGTTGAATGAGTGTTGGGGGTTCACGCCGTAGATGTTGATAAAGTTGTGGATTACCGTAGTTAACCAGCAGAAGGTGAAGTTGCATTTTAGAACTTTTAGTCAAAGTATCGACGATACTACATGGCTGAACTTCTGCGGGAAAACAAAGCCTTCACTGCCATCTCAATTTAGATACGCTCGTGCTACTCTTGTCTACCACTCTAACACTCAACACTCTCAGCTAGCGCTCTTAGCTACTTAGGCAGCAGGAACCTTTGCCCACAACGGATCAAACCCAGATCCCCAAATCCACTTGTCATCCTCGGCCTGGTTCAAGGTCGTGTCGTAAGCCACCTGCGCCAGCCTAAACCAAGCATCTCCCTTCACCGGGAAGTCGTCAGCCCCCTCACCCGTCTCAAACCCGCGCGAGATCTCCTCGCCGTTCTTCAGCGCCCGCACAAACTTGGCCAGATGCCCGTCATCCTGCGCAACATTCACCAGCTTGTACAGCCCCTGCCAGTCCCCGGCCTTGACACCAGAACTAAGCGTCGGAGCGTACTCCCTAACAAACTCCGGCCGCAGCTCCGGCGCCGAGCTCGCAGCATACCACACGAGATCCGTCCGGGCCTTCCGCTCGACAAGCTTGACCTTGTCGGCGAGAGAAATCCACGGCTGCCGGATCAGCGCGGTGAAAAAGATGCTCGCGTTGACGTTGTGCATATGGAAAAAATCGATCCGCCGCTTCTTTCCCGGCCGCTGTGCCGCGCCCGCCGAGTACGCCGCGATATTGGCCGACTCGGCCACTGCCCGCTCCAGCGCTTCCTCGCTGTTCGCGACACGCCACTGCGCCGCTACGGCTGCGATCTCGCTGCCGGCGCGCGCGATCACACCCTCCCGCACGCGGACGGGACCCTGCTGGATGAGGGCGGCTGTGGCGATCTTGGGGGTCGCGCGAACCTCGTCGTACAGCGCGAGGAGAGACTTGACGGGGGTGTTGGCTGAGGCGGCTATTTTCTCGCTCTCGTGGTAGAAGCCTTCCAGGTTGGCCGAGTCGTGCACGGCAGCTTGGGCGAGGCCCTCGGCGATGATGCCCGGCAGTTCGAATTCGACGCCGAAGCCGAGGTGGATGATGGGATGGTGGGCGCCCTCGTACAGCTGGGCAAAAATGCGCTCGGCGTTGGGGGTGCCGCTGAAGACGTGCTCCTGCAGGACTTCGCGCCAGCCCTTGGCGGCGATTTCCTGTTCGAAGAAGGCGAGGTAGTTGGTGTACTGGTTGATGTCGCCGATGTGAGCGGCGAAGGTGGAAGGGTCCTTGAGGTCATGGGCGACGGCGGTGTCCAGGGGCGGAATCGGACGCTGGATGGCAACACCATCGTCAAACGCACGCTGGACCTCGTCCGGACCGCCACCAAGGGCCAGGACGCTCAGCACTGAGTGCGGGAGGTGGTTGTGTCCACCCACATCACGCCAAAAGATGTGGTACTTGTCGTGGTTTTTCTGCAGAAGCTCGTTGGCCCGCTCGATGGCACCGGCCGGGTTGTCCGAGACACGGCCTAGGCCGAGATGGCCTGAGGAGATGCGGATGGACCCGGTGGAAGTTCCGTTGGCTGACATGATGATGTTAACCAGTGTGGCAGTTGTAATTAATTGGTGGGAACTGAGAAGTAAGAGAGGAGACAATCCCCCTGATTTCAGTTTAATTTAGGTAAGAATCTGAGATCAGATAATTATCAAATGGGAACCTGGCTGGAAGAACAAGTCGAGTCTTCAAACTTCCTACTGTCGTTAACTAAGAATTTCAGGGGGTGACTCGGCTTAGACCTCGGCACATCAAGATGATCCAAGGTTTCGTGCTTTGGTTTGTTACACACCCCGAAGCCAATATGCCGTACTCCGTACGTCTCGCCATCTCATTCCGCAGACCAGCCATCCGCCCTCGGACATCGAAGCAGGACTCCCCCGCAGGACAATCCGACAAAGCTCCATTCCATTGTCCGTGCTGCAGTGGGTTCGCTGGTCGGAGAGATTCCCCGATTGGGTCACTGGTGAATTGTAAGTCCACGCAATCTTATGATAATGTTAATTATTAAGTATTCAACTCTTTTTTCAAAGCCTATGGCCATCCCAAGGAGTGCAACGCAGTCGGTTCCAGAAACCAGAAAAATTAAGGCTAAAACTTAATCTGTATACTTCTGCATTCACGGGCTCACAGCAACATGTCGTCCACTACAACAGTCACCACCACCAAGGTAGAGACGCCCTTCACCACGGGCGCACTCCAACAAGATACAGCCTTTTGGCGGGCCTACATCGCTTCTCGCCCGGCCCCCTCCGAAGACTTCTTCCGCGTCATCCAGGAACACCACAACACCCACGGCAACGGCCAGACCTCTCTAGCCCACGATGTCGGCACTGGCCCGGGTAACATCGCCGAGCGGCTTCTCAAGTACTACGACCACGTCGTCGGGTCCGACGTCAACGCTCAGGCCCTCGACGCAGCCGGCGATCTGATCGCGCCGGACCTGGTCTCCCGCCTGACGCTGGTCCGCTCCCCGGCTGAAACCCTCGCCGACAACAACACGGTCCCGCCTAACGTGGGCCTTGGTAAAACCGACCTCCTCGTCGTCAGCGAGTGCATCCCGCTGCTAGACGTGCCCCGGGCCCTCAACGCCTTCCACCAGCTTCTCCGCCCCGGCGGCACCCTCGCCATCTACTTCTACGGCCGGCCCATCTTCACCACCGGTGACGCGGTCCGTGACGACCGTCTCAACGCCCTGTACGACCGCATCGCCACGCGCATCTGCACCTTCCTCCTACCCTTCAAGGGCACGCCCGGGTTCCCGCACCACCAGCGTGCCGCCGAGGCCCTGGCCAGCCAGCTGGATAACATTGCGCTGCCGTCGGCGGAGTGGGGGGATGTGGTGCGGTACAAGTGGAACCCAGACGTGCCGCTGCTGTTTAATAGCCTGGAGGGGTACGATTTTGAGCCGGAGCCGGTTGATCGGCGCGAGAAGGGGGAAACGACTAAGGAGATTGTTGATCGGAAGTGGTGGCGGGATGAGTGGGATGCTGATCGGGTTAAGGAGTACTTGGACTCGGTGTATCCGAGCTACGTGGAGAAGGCGGGCAGTAAAATTGCTGAGGTTAACGAGGGCGTTGAAGAGCTGCGCGAGGCACTGGGCGGAGGCAAGGCCAGTGTGACGTTTCCTGTGGTGTTGATCCTAGCGAGCAAGAAATAGGTTGATACTTAGTAACCACACCATAAACTTAACGGGTCTCTTTAGTGACTGATAATAATCAAGCATTTTCATGACAAGTACTGTGTCTCATTAGATTAATTAACGCTGGACATTGGCATTGATAATACAGGTATTACCCAGGCGTGAAGTTCAATCAAGTTATATATTTTCTCATACATTTTCTCATGACCCGTTGTAAGGTTCATCACTCCTGTACACTGTTGATAATTATCCAACTAATTTACCTCCATTCACCAGCTGCGTAAAGCAGAGGTAGTAGATCACACATCCTTAAACCCATCTACAACCTTCCCTTCTCTGACATATTCCGAAATCCATCCAATCGTCATGCTAAGAGAGACAAGTCAGCCGTGGTTCACCTGTGTCACATCAATTTCAAAGATTCAGCGATCAATCCTCACCTGCTCCGCTTCGTATCAGCAAACTTCTCGTGGTCCCCCACCAAATGTTCTTGATACCAAGGATCCTGCTTCATGCGCTTGTAGTCTTCCAGGTCCCGGAACACCACCTGGCTGAAGCAGTCGAAGTCGGCCACATTGGCCATCTGGTGGTCGTACAGTTGCGCCATCAGCGCCCGGCTCTCAGTCGTGTTGTGGATTTGCGTCCACCGCACCACCCCGTACTTGACCATCAGGTCCTTGGTCAAGGGCGCCGAGATCTGTGTCATATGGTGCCGGTATGCCTCCTCGCTCATGCCGGGCTTGCGATAGCCGCAGATGGTGAGGCAGAGAAATTGGCCGTTCTTGCCAGAGCCAGAGACATGGCTGCTGCTCGCGTTACCGTTGACGGTGCCGTTGACGGTGATGCCGTTGGAGGGCGAATTGGTGTCCGTAGCTGTTGCTGTAGCCATCTTGGTGTGTTTTTTCCTGCTAATGTTCTAACTTCTGGGCGTCTGAGTCGATACCTCCTAACTCTAGCCCGTTTCAAACTAATTAGACTACTTCGTAGGCTCGCGCGAGCTCTCTGGACTCCGGGCCTGCAGGGTTCAGCGGCTTGGACATTGCTCGATCTACACCTGGGGCGATGCCAGTGACACCCCTGCATACCTACGCCCAGATCCGGATACCATGCGGTTTGTCCAGCAGAACGGGACTCTTCCGTGGACGGGATTGTCGGAATCCGATCATGTCGGGATGGCGAAAGCTCTTGGTGGGTCGGCAGTGTTCCCCGAGGTTGCATTTCCCCAGGGGTCAACAGAGCTTCCTAGAGCTACCCCCGCAAGAAGTCCCTAACCCTAACGCTAACCCCAACCCTAACCCTAGGTAAGCAAACCCCTCGATAAGGAGTACTGGAAGTAAACACCATGTATAGTACAGTACATACCAACCAGGCAACGGCACCGGGGGCAGCTGAGATGTATTCTGTTCTCCCTTCTTCCTGAGAGCACCCTGCCCTTGAGTTAAGCCGCTATACAGAGTCCAATCAAGCGAGGAGGATGACAGAGTTGGGTAATTAGTTCCAAAAAACAACTTCGTAGTAACTAGTCTACGTAATACATTCAACACAATTTGCCTCAATGATCCAAAGAGAAAAGCTCTGTAGTTACCTAGTCTACGAAATACAATCTGTATAATCTGTATACCCAGCTGAAATATATCCTGCCTATTCAATTGAAACACAAGTAATCGAATGCGTCACGTTCCCACAGCTAACAAAATAATTTCCAACAAACAACAAAAGGAGAAAAGAAAGAACTGAAATCAATAGTCTCAGGCAAGCCATCAATCAACAAATCCCCCCTGCCGTCTGCCCCGTCTAGCTGTAATACTCCACCAACCAAGAGCGCAAATCGCCCACAGTCGGATACTCAAGGAACACGCTGCCGCCGACGGTGATGCCCAGCTCCTCGCGGAACCGCTCAGCAATCACTAGGCTCATCAAGCTGTCGATGCCTAGGTTGGGGAAGGACGCCTCGTCCTTGAGGTCCGCGAGCTCTAGGCCGGCCTCGTCAGCCACGAGGAGAAGGGCTTTGACCGCCGTACTATCGCTGTCAATGTCAACAGCAGGCTCCGGGGTAGGAGCGGGAGCAACAGCGGGAGCGGGCGCTGGGGTCACTTTGAGGGGCTCCGAAGATGGCACAGGCACAGGCACAGGCACAGGCACCGGCACAGGGGCCGGTAGCACGGCAACCTGTTTCTGCGGTGCGGCCGTCGGTTTGCTGGAGGAAGAATGAGACGCCACAGCAGGAGCAGAAGCGTCGTCAGGGGCCGAGAAGAAGCGGTTGAGCAACAGGCGAGGGTACCGGCGGAACTTGATGCCCCCGACCACGCCGACGATGACTCCCTCCTGCAGGATATAGACATCCCCCAGATAGACGGTCGGGTCCTCGGCGGTAGGGATCATCTTGACGTACGAGCGGAACTGGCCGCCGGCAACAAGCGGCACCGCAAAGCGCATCGACTCCCAGCCGGGCGTAACACAAAAGTTAGCCGTCGTGTCGATGGCGTCAGACACGTTCATGACAAACCCAGCCAGGTGCGCCACGCTGTCGATGAAGAAAGGCGGCACCGTCCACACGCCGCGGCCCGCGTCGCGCGTCAGCGTCACGTCGGCCACGGCCTCGAGTTCGTGCAGCACCACGGACTGCATGCCGCGGTACTTGTCGGCGTAGTCGACTAGGTTGGCGGCGAACAGGCGGTAGGCCATGGCGTGCGAGAAGCGGTTGGCCACGCCGTCGGCTGCGAGCTGCTCGAGCGCGTCGATGCGTCCCTGGACTAGGTGGGTGAGGGGGGACCAGGACCGCAGCCAGGGCGTGGCGTCGTCGGCGAAATACAGGGTTGCGCTGGCGAAGGGTTCTTCGGAGGCTCCTGTGTCGTCGTTGACGTTATGCCAATGCAGCTGTGCAACGCCTGTGTTGATATCGGCCGTGCTGAGGGACACGCGGATCAGTTGCGGGGTGGTGGTGGATTTCCGTGCGACGAGCCCCTTGAGGACTTCAAGGTTGGCGATGTTCATGAGCGGCTTGGTCTTGCGTTTGATGAGTTTGCCGTGGAGGTATTCGCCCAGGGTGAATGCAATATCGGCGTGGATAGACTATTAATTAAGCATCGTGGTCAGCCAGTGTGTCTTCAAGTCTTCATTATGGAGACGCAAAATGCCCTTGAATCAGGGGTAAATCAACAAATAAGCTTGACAGGAATGAACTCACCGACGTCACCACTCCACACCCATTCATTTTATGCCCATACGCGGCGGCCCGGAACTCGGCCTGGGCAAGGTCAGACTGAATGACAACCGTACCCGATGACCCAGCGTAGGTCTCCTCGATGATGTGCTGGACGGTCGACGTGAGAAAGCTGGCGGGAGACGGGGAAGCAGCCACCGCTTTCTGGGCCTGCTTCTTCTCCTCGTCATAGAAAGTGTTCCCCTTGGTCAATGCCCAATCACCGTTGTACTGGATCCAGTACGTCTTGTCGTTCCAGCTGTACGTAGGCAAGTCCAGCAGACGCAGCTGCTTCTCAAACGGCCGATGGAACTCGTTCCAGCTGATCTCAACCCCCGCCAGATGCAGGCTTGCCAGGCTCCGTGCCAGCGTCAGCCAGTTGTCCTCGCCCCGGCGCAGCGAAGGCACGGCGATGCTCGTGGACGGCAGTGCCGCCTTGACAAAGTTCAATGACACCGGATGGGGCCCGATCTCCACCCAGGCCATGGAGTCGTCAATGATGTCGATCTCCCGCGCGGCCTCTAGCGCAGCCAGGAAGTTAACCGTTCCCCTGGTCGCGCGGCGCACGTACTCGGCGTTGATGCTCTTGTCGTCGAACACCACTTTGCCAAGCAGCGGCGAGATGACGGGGACATTCGGCGCGTGGAAAATAACACCAGCCCGCGCCAGTTCCTCAAACTCGTCCAGAATCGGGTCCATCTGCGCCGAGTGAAACGCAAACGCCACGTCGAGAATGGTGCTCTTGTACCCGGCGGCTTCCAGCGGTGTGACCAAAGCCTGCATCTCGGCCTCCGTTCCGCTGAGCACCGTCTCGGCCGGGCCATTCACACACGCGACTTCGAACGGCTTCTCTCCGGCTACTTCTTCCACCTGGGCGAGGGAGGCTCTCACAGCCAGCATCCTGTAGCTCCCAGCCTGCGCGTGCTGTTCGAGCAATTGGGCTCGCCGGCCAACGAGGAAAACAGCATCGTTGGCCGAGAGCACGCCCGCAACCTGCAACGCCGCGTACTCGCCCAGGCTGTGGCCGATGACTACGTCGGGCTTGATTCCCAGAGTGGCCCAGTACTTGGCGAGTGCGATTTCGGTAGAGACTAGGGCGAGCTGGGTGACCACGGGGGAATGCGCGTGGTCCTGCGGGTGGGAGCCGTCGATGGCTGGGATGAAAGTCGGGAATCCCTGCTGCTGGGCGAGGGCGTCGAGGTGAAGGATCTGCGTGCGGAAGGTGGGTGAGGTGTGGAATAGCTGCAGGTTTGATGACTTGTGCGCTGAGCCCTGGCCGGTGAAGGCGAAGACGACTGAGGGGGGGCCGGTAGCGGGTATGGGCTTCAGGGTGGTGTCGACTGAGTCCAGAGCGGTGGTGAGCTGTTTATTGAGCTGGTCGACAGAGGAGACGGCGACTGCGATCCTGTGGTTGTGGTGGTGCCGGCGCGCTGTGGTGGTGTATGACAGGTCGGACAGCGACACGTCCGGGTGCTTGTCGAGATAGGCGAGGTACCGCTCCAGGTTCCCTCGCAGGGACACCTTGCTCTTGGCCGATAGGGCAACCACATGTGTGTTGCCGCGGGGATCTGGCTGGCTTTCGGCCTGCTGCAGCCTCAGAGGGGCTTCTTCGATGAGAACCGTGGTGTTACCGCCTGCAGCGCTGAAGTTGTTGACGGCCGCGATGCGTTTCCGGTCGGGGTTCCGCTCCCAGGGTGTCTTCTCCCACGGAATGCGGACATTCCGCTTGTCTAGATCCTTGGGTAGAGCCGGATTGAGCCCGTTCTTGACACCCACGTGGGGCGGTATCGCCTCCTTCTGGAGCATGAGCAAGACCTTGAGGAGGGCTGTGACACCGGCGACAGCCTCGCCGTGGCCCACGTTTGCCTTGACGGTGCCGATATACAACGGGTGCTTGGAGCTACGGCGGTTGGTCACAGGTGCATACGCGCTCGTGACGGACTGCATCTCCTCGCGGTCACCTGCTTGCGTGCCGGTCCCGTGCATCTCGACATAGCTCACATCGAGAGGGTTGATCCCTGCTGCGGCAAGTACCTGGTTCGAGAGATAGGCCTGGGCACCCGCGTGGGGGTGTGTGATAGACACAGCCTCAGCCGAATGGTTGGTCGCGGCACCGAGGATCACGCCGAGGATGTTGTCATTGTCGGCCTCGGCGTCTTCCAGGCGCTTCAAAACGATAGACCCGATTCCATCAGCACGGCAGTAACCATCGGCTTCACTGTCCCACGCTTTACAAGCGTTAGGGGTCTTGGAGAGAAAGTGACCGTGGCTGAGACCGGCAAAGGCATCCGAGTTGGTGAGGACGTTCATGCCTCCTGCAACGGCAGTATCAAGTTCGCCGTTCCAGAGTGCTGTGCAGGCAGTCTGGATCGTGGCAAGACTCGAAGAGCAAGCAGTATCAATGCTGTAGCTCGGCCCAGAGAACTTGAAGAAGTAGTTGATACGGCCGGGGCCAAAGGCCCGGCAACCGCCGGGAATGAAGTAGGTGCTGATCTCCTGGGCCGTATTCACCTCACGATAATCATCACTGGCCTGTCCGTAAAAGGTACCAATTCGATGAAGGTTGGTGGCGGCCGTACGGTTCGCAACATAGCCCGCCCGTTCCAAGGCCTCATACGCCGTGACCAGGGCCAAACGTTGCATCGGGTCCGTCTGCTGAGCCTCGCGCGGCGAGATGTTGAAGAAGGGCGCGTCGAACAGGCCAGGTTCGTCAATGAAACACCCGTACGGCGTATGGCTGGTGTTCACCCGCTTTCCGGTGGGATCGTAATGGGTTGCAACGTCAAACCGGTCCGCGGGAATGGTACGATGCACGTCGAGCCCCTTCTCCAGAAGGTCCCAGAACTTGTCAGTATCGGTCGCGCCGCCAGGCATCCGACACGACATACCCACGATGGCGATCTTGCTCTGACTCGTGCCCCGAGGGGAGAATGAGTTCACAAGAGACGGCTCGGTAAGCCACTGCAGCAGATCGGTCGTCGTCGATGTCGTTGCCGTTGTCGTTGTCGTTGATTCGGCCGCCTGGGATTCCTGGGACTCCTGGGACAGAGTGGATGTCACAGCCGTGGTCAGGTCTCGGATGGGGAGCGAGGTACGGAAAGCGTGCACATGGAACTGGACGACGCCGGGCTGCGACGCCCTGTCAACCAAGGTGTTGACTACATTATCCCACTGGATTTTCTGAGTCAGGATCTCGGTGATGATCTCCTCCAGTAAGCCCGCGGCATCTGTCGCCAGGAATGGCTGCCCGGTGCTCGTCGAAAGAACAGGAATTCCGGGAACCAGTTTAGTAATATGGCCGCCCAGCTTCTCGGCACTGACACGTACGACCTCCTGGGCGTGTTTCTCGTTGTAGATGTGCTTTGCGTGACACAGGCCTCCATACACCGGCAAGGCGATGGACCGAGTGTCGCGGAAGAAGTCGGACACCAGGAAGATGCGCTTCAACCTTCCGGGGGGGCCGCTGACCGTCACCGATGTTGCGCTGAGAGCACTGATAAAAACGGTGCTGGCCTCGGGTGTTTGCTATTAACCATCCCACTTTTGTCAGCAACTCGACGGTCTCGACCAACTCGGATGACAATTTTCTTGCCAATGAGGCCATGGTGTAGGAGACAGTAAAGCTTAATTACCTCTCTCGCATGAATCGCATCCAACTCCTTCTGTACTTGCTCAGGTGTGACATCAGGTACCACGTACGCCCAAGTATCCGCAGGTCCCGAATCCGTCGGATTTCGCGGTTCCAGATTCTGCGAGACCTCATCCACCAGAACTCCCAGACGGAACGCGGTGCGGACGATTTCGGCTCCGACAATGGGCAGGTCGACCACTTGGGAAGCGAGCGAGACGGCAGCAGTGGCCAACAAGCCAATTCCCAGCCCAGCAAGATAGCTACTGGCTGCATCGATGTTGTACTGCTCGGGATGCCTCTCGTAGTATCTGTGGTATTATCAACAATTATCAGCCATCAGGTGTCTTGTTGGGTCTGGACTGAACAGCTCCGATAACGGTGGTGTGATAAAAGTATGTTTCTACTCACCCGATAAAAGCACCCAGCTCAACAGCGAGAAGCAGCACGCCGTCTATCGATCCGGAAAGCTGACCCTTTCGCAGTTCAGGGTCGTCGACAAGGTTGAAGATGGTTTGAAAGGGGGGGATCAGGGATCGCAGAGAGGCGGGCAGCCCACGGATCTCCTCACGCAGCGCCAAGGTGGCGTCGTTGATAAACTGGGCCAGGATGGGATGATCTCTGGTCTTGCTCTGCGTCCATAGGCGCCTGAAGAGATCTTGAAGGTTGTCGTGAGGGAACTCATTGCTGAAGTAGGCTAGCCTCAGCCTGACGAAGTCCCCGGTCCCATCAGACGAGGGTGTAAAAGAAGATCGAAACGTCATGGTTACAGGTAGGTACCGATCCGGCAGCCCAGTGATCTTCGTCGTAAGACGGTCGTAGCCAAATATTGGGGGTGGTGAAAAGGGGTGTGGAAAGGGGGGTGGGTATGAATGGCCAAGGCCAGGGGCAGAAGGACTTGAGTGTGTGTGGGCTGAACAGGGTCAACAGGCCAGTTCTAGAACCGTCGTTGAGGACGTGTGCACTCTAGACCATAATGCTCATACCATCCTATCTATGTAGGTAGGTATGTACCTTAAGTATCTCTTGGTGCAACGGGCATTGCCGTGACCCACCAGCGTCGTCTAAAAGCATTGCCACATGGCCGGCATTCATTACGGTCAGAGTCACCACGGCAACTGACAAGAAGAGTCAATTCGACTCCGGGTTCGTCAGCTTCGGGGAACGATCAGAGTGGGTGGGCATCGGCACCCGCACCAGGCACCCGGACCCCCTGGGATGTTTTCCGTGGTTGCAGCAGGCTGCGGAAGTCGAATACTACCCGTTCGTCAATCATCCGTCGCCCCGAAGCCGTTGCGCAATCACCGTATCACGGGGAACCTCCCGGGATATGCTCCGAACTTGCCCGAAACCGGGACACTTGAGAATGTCTTATCTGTGGTCGGGACGATCCGCGTGTGCATGAGCCAAGTCAAGCTTTCTTGACTTGGTTCGTCGCCTATGCCAGTTACCCTGCCCCAATATTCAATATTCTTTCAACAAGACACGCCTAGTATCATCACCAGAGCTGTGCGTGTGTTCTCAATATGGGCCGAGGAGGATACCGCCAGATCAACAAGGCGCTCAACATCTGCGCATTCGAGGACTACCTCGACTCGCAGCTAGCAGGCTTGCCAAAGCTGAACGATGTAGAGAAACTCACCCCTCGCGTACTTCGGATTCTGGGGCAGAATGAGGGAAAGGTAAGATACTTTACCGTGGCTTGATGGTCTGAATTCACATTCACCATGGGTAGTTTACCTCGCCACATGCTCTCTATATCTCTCTCAGTTACCCTACGACTCCATGGCCTTCTTCACTTGAGTGCATATGTGCTAACCAACTCAACTCACACGCCCAGTTTACCCTCCAAGGCACAAATACCTACATTGTTGGAACCGGTCAGAAAAGACTCATCATCGACACCGGCCAAGGGATTCCCGAATGGGCAGACCTGATCGAGAGTACCTTGAAGGAGTCATCCATCTCGATATCCCACGTGCTGCTGACGCACTGGCACGGCGACCACACGGGAGGCGTGCCCGACCTCCTACGTCTCTACCCGCATCTCTCCAATGCGATCTTCAAGCACACGCCGGGCCCAGGCCAGCAATCCATCACCGACGGGCAGGTGTTCCGGGTCGAAGGCGCTACAGTACGCGCCGTGCACGCCCCTGGCCATTCGCACGACCACATGTGTTTCGTCCTCGAGGAGGAAAACGCCATGTTCACGGGCGACAACGTGCTGGGCCACGGCACGGCGGCCGTCGAGATCCTGCCGACGTGGATGCAGTCACTGCGCGTCATGGCCTCGCACCGCTGCGCCCTGGGGTATCCGGCCCACGGCGAGATGATCCGCAACCTGCCGGGCAAGATCTCGGTGGAACTGCAGGCGAAAGAGCGGCGCGAGAAGAAGGTGCTGGACGCCCTAGACCGGGTCAAGCGCGAACAGAAGCGAGCCGGCTTGGCCTCGGCCAAGGGGAGCGTCACGGTCAAGGACCTGGTTACGGCCATGTATGGGGATCAGCTGGACGAGCAGGTGCGTGAGCAGGCCATCGAGCCCTTTACGGCCGAGGTCTTGCGCAAGCTTGCGGGCGACGGCAGGGTGGCTTTTGAGCTGAAGGCGGGACAGAGGAAGTGGTTCTCTATCCGTTGAGTAAATACGCAAAGTGACTATTGCCGATGCAGTCAGGGACTTAGAATTAGGAGAGTGATTGTATACCATCTGGGGCGAGAGGCTGAGATTTCCGTGTTATGCTATAGCTACAGGTAGCAAATGATTTTCCTAATGACCAAAACCACACTCTCTCTCTTAAGACGAGCAGCGAGAACGATCACCAGCGTTGGCCGGGGTAGTGTCTCCACCCGGCCTTGACATGGTGACATGTTTCGGGGTCCGGCCGGTCTTAGCTTGTTGACTCCAGATTTGCCGTTTTATTTTCGTAATAAACTTAAAAAGATTAACCCTTTCACCCCCCGCTCGAAACACTACATCACAACCATTCATCCGCCTCTTCCTACCTGAACCTAAACCGCATTCGTTCTTACCGGCACTATGGGCGGCAACACAGATTCTTCTCCTGCCCCTGTCCCCACGACAACAGCGGCAATCCTCGCGGGTTCCGTTCTTGCAGGTGCGTACCTAAACTCCTAAAGTCCTAAACGCCACCGCGGCGACCTGGGCAGTGACCGTGGGTCTTATTACATCCTCTAAAACTTCATGCAGGCGCCATCTTGTCAATCTCAATCATCTCCATTCCCGTCTTAGTGGAAACCAACAACGACCCCACGCTTTTGCTCAGCCAGTGGGCACGGCTTTACGGCTACGGTGTCAAGATCATGCCGGCCAGCGCGATCGCGACATTGCTTCTTCATGCCTTCTCCGGCATTACCAATGTTCGCGCCTCGCGGCCGTGGCGCGTCTACGGAGTGGCCGCCGCCACGACAATCAGTATTGCCCCGTTCACCTGGCTCGTCATGGCGCCCACAAACGCCCGCTTGTTTGAGCTCAATGCTGCTGGGGCCGCTGGGGCCGCTGGAGGGCTGAGTCTGACCGAGGTTCACGAGCTGTTGGAGAGATGGCGCTGGTTGAATATAGCCCGTTCTTTGTTCCCCCTAGCGGGTGCCATCTGGGCAGCTACGGGGCCGCCGTAGGTTGTTATTCTTGGAGATGGTAACAACTTGTTAGTCGACGGCAAATATGGTCACTGGTCACTGTCACGGGATGATGAATATTCCACAATCTCGAAGTATTAATGGTGAATTTCAACGGCGAATTTGAAGTGGATGAGGGTGTATAATACGAAGTATTGTATGTATGTCCGTACAACCATTGCCCAGTTGTCCTTGCTCCGAACACGATTTCGGAGCTTTACTGATTCCTTTAAAGATGGCGTGCACGCCCAGTTGGTCAGTGGTTGCAACCTTGGAACCTCTCGTACTATCTGTAACTGTGTATCCCGGTGTTCGGTCTTCGGGACCACTGCTCTCTGAGCGCATGAGCAGGTCCGAATTGACACAAGCGTCCGCGTTTCAGTTGAGACATATCCATCTAAGCGCCATTACCATATTCTCACTCATCTCTAGAACTACAACCTTACTGGGCCTCATACTCACAGCCATTCCATCTGTTCACCGTTCCCCCCCCTGTCCGGCCCTGACACACAACTCGCTCGGAAACAATGGGATCAAACACAGATAACACCATCTTTGCCCGCGACAAGGCTTTCTGGGATAATTATCTCAAAGGCCGCCCACGGGCGCCGGACAGCTTCTTCGAGCGCATCTTCCGCTATCACGAGCAGAAGGGCGCTCCATTCGAGACCGCCCACGACGCCGGCGCCGGGAACGGACCGTATGCCGACAAATTGCGGTCTCGGTTCCAAAACGTCATCATCTCGGACATCGTCGCGGAAAACGTCCGGCTCGCCCAGGACCGCCTAGGCACCGACGGCTTCCAGTACCGCGTCTCCAAGATCGAGGAAGCCGACGACATCCCCCGCGGCAGCGTCGACCTGGTCTTCGCGACCAACGTGCTCCATTTCGCGGACCAAAACGCAGCACTACAAACCATCGCCCGGCAGCTCAAGCCCAACGGCACGCTCGTAGTGGCCGGCTTCGGAGCGGCCCGCCTCCGCGACCCGGCCGCGCAGGACATATGGGCGCGTATCATGCACCAGGGCGGCCGCGCGCTGCTCAAGCACGCCGACAAACCGGACGTCACGCGCAAGATCATAGCCCGCAGCTCGGGCTTCTACAATCTCGCGCCTCTGGACGAGCAGCTCTTCGAGCGGGGCGCGCTGCGCATCCACCTCAACATGACCGATCGCGACGGTCTCACATCCCTTCTCCCTCCCGAGGAGGAGGGTAAGTCCGGCGAGCCCAACTACACGGGCCCCCACGACAAGGAGGTCTTTGAGGATGAGGAAGGGTGGAGTGTGCAGACGGATCTGGACGGTCTCAAGGCGCATTTTGCGTCGTTTCCCTTCTCGGCGCTGGACCCGGACGCTTATACCGAGCTGTGGCAAGAGCTGGGAGCGCTGCTGGAGGGCGGCCGCGTCGTGGAGGCTTACTTCCCTGCCAAGGTCATTCTTGCTACACGAAATCACACGGCTTGACACATAGAACATGGTAGTCGCAGCTTGAATGGATTCTACGTCTAGACCACGCCGTCAGAGTGGAGTTGATTGTGAGAGCTTGTCCCAAGTTGTTGCTGTAGACGGCTACTGTAGACAGCTATGTCTCATTCTCATGAAGGGCCATAATTATCCCTGTCCGGTCTACTATGGAGGAACAAGATGTTCCTGGGTTGTGTCTGTAGCGTCCAAGTCTGTCACGTCGAAACAAGAGACGGGAGGATTCCGCCATTCCGCCTCGGCATCTCGAATCCTTTCCAGACCCGGACCACTCCCTGTGTCCCCCGATCCCTCCATCAAGATTTCCCGAGGAGGCCCCTGCACTCCCGAACGTCCCGATCCCGTTGCTGACCCGTCCTTGTCGGGACCCGAAGGCGGGACGCGAAGGTTGAGATGGGAACGGAGTTAACGGCAATAAGCGAGGACGGGCAGGAAGTTCTTACTCCGATGCTCTATCAGCTGAAGTTACCGCGGAGGGCGGAAATGCAACCAAAACCATGAGGGCCGTCAGAGCAGATCCTCGGACGGAGTGAAATTTCCCTTTTCGGAAGCCCGGCGTAGCATTGGCCGTCTCGGTCTGGACACTCGCGGTGGGCTCGCAAGCGGGGCGCCAAAAGCACGTCAGGGCCTGCCATAGTCAAATCAAAGCCACCACTCTCGGGCTGTTGTCGAAATGCGCTGGGATCGCGACATTTTGCCTGCCCGTAAGGGTATTACGTCGGAGCGTCAGGCTCGGCTGGACCAACATCCCGTATCTCTGGTCTAATATTCCTCTTTGTGGCTTGTCTCCAAGGGTTACGAGGGCATCGGCGTCACGGCGTGGGCTGTTCCATCCTCCGGGCGGTCTCCAATACCCACCGAGGTCGGGTAAGCCTACTGAAGGAGTCACACACCCGCATCTCCCAGGAACGCTGTAATCCTGGCCGGTTTGTCGGGCGCTAGAATTTAGCACGCTGAGAAAGGCTTAGACAAGATAGCAAGGCGTCAGCATGGTTCTCAGCCGCCATCACTGAGAACATTGCGAAGAAGGATGAGCTTCCAAAGTTCCAGGGGGGGTGGGATGGCCATGCTTAAAGACCCATGAACTCGGGTTTCATTCGGTGAAGCGCTACAATACTGTGAAAACAGATCAGTGCTTGGTCCATCGCGAGCGATCTTGGCTGTTCAAAGTGAAGACTCAACAACGCCAATTTACAAGATGATGATGAACTGGCAAACCACTCTGGGGCTTCTGTGCCTAAGTTGCTGCTTTCTTGTTGTCACCGGTAAATACACTCACCATCCGCAACTTTATCAAACTATATGTTACAATGCCTTTTGCTGATTTGTCCAATATTATATTGACCAGCGGTTGACTACCCCAACCTGGGTGTTCCCTACCTGCATACGGACGACCCTGTGACGGTACCTACCTAATTAATTATCATCTGTCCATTGGTGGTATCCGCTGACATAGTTGTCTCACCTTAGCCATTGCCACATGGCTTTCCGTGGGGCAAGAAAGTGACGAAACGAAGCAATCCCAGTAAGTTTCACCAGTTTCATGTTCCCACCTGCAGTGGCCGAGTAAAATGACTGACCTTCTGCAGATGGTGAGTCTTTCCCAGCACACCCTCCACGCAGCCCGTAAGAAACACGGTTATCAACAAGCAGCGTCGAATGATTAGAGGGTGGTAAGTACACCCCTATTCGGGGTTACCAAGTAATATCCCTTGTTCATTATAGGTCTGACATCGTACAGATCCTCCTCTCACCGGGTACGTCCAGACATAGTGGGGGGGGACGGATACCACCCCAGCTCTGCTGCAGTATCGTCTAACCCTTTCAAGTGTGATTCGGCGATACAACTTCACCATTGCGAGGCGGAAGATTGCGCCAGATGGGTATCTCAAGAACTCGCTCGTGATCAACGGTCAATTTCCTGGCCCTCTGATCGAGGCAAACTGGTACTGTACCCCCACCTCGATCATCTTCCTGTTGCACCAACCTGTACATATAACTGATTTGGATAACCAGGGGTGACACTATTCAAGTTACTGTTCACAATGACATCCGTGACCCCGAAGAGGGCACGGCCATCCACTGGCACGGCTTCTTGCAGAAGGGATCTCCGTAAGACTTCAGGCACTTGGTTTGCTGGCACTCGCACTCTCGAATCACGAGAGGCTGATGTTTGATCATGTTAAAACAGTTGGATGGATGGCGTGCCTTCCATTTCTCAATGTCCGATAGCCCCAGGCGCGAGCTTTACCTATTCATATATTGCCGATTCGTACGGGTCGTCGTGGGTATGTAATAACTTGTCTCGTTTCTCCAGAATCCCGAGGGACGAGCCTCAAACATTAAGGAGTGATAACTGACCCTTAGCCGTGCATGTGGATGTTGGCAGTATCATTCACACTACTCAGGACAATATGCCGATGGAGCCATCGGGCCCATTGTCGTACACGGCCCACCGACGGTCTCGTACGATATCGGTAGGAAAGCCGTGGCCTCTTTTTTAATCGTGTCTCATAACTGATTGACGTACCGACTTTTCTTTAGATATTGGTCCAGTTCTCATCACAGATTATTACCATAGAAACTACACGGATATCACTGAAGCTGCCTTCAACTCCAATTTTTCGATAGTGGTAAGATGTATCCCCTGTCTTCGGACTCACCGTTCGTGTTCTTTACCTGCTACGGCGTTAACTAATGAGCGGTGCAGGCGGTGCCCGGAGTGAATTCGCTCATCAACGGCCGTAACAACTATAATTGTTCGCTGAAAGCTGCGAATGACCCAAGCCCTTGTCAAAGTGATGCTGGCATCGCCAAGTTCAAGTTTCAGCGCGGCAAAAAGCATCTTCTCCGCATTGTCAATGCGGGTGCCAGTGCTTTGCAAACATTTTCAGTTGACGGCCACAACTTGACCGTCATTGCCAACGACTTTGTGCCCGTTGTCCCGTACCAAACTCAGTGTGCGTGAAACAACTCTTACCTAGAGACTCTTCGGCCCCTGGCACCAAAAAAACAAAAAGCTGACAAAAGCCCTGGCTCCAGACCTCAAACTCGGTGTCGGCCAGCGCACCGATGTGATTGTCGAAACTACCGCGAACGAGCAAAACAACTTTTTCATACGCTCCCAGAGCCCGGCCAAGCCATGTGCCGACACGATCCAGCCTAACGTTAGCGCACTCGCCTACTTTGACGATCCAAACGTGGTGCCGCAGCCCAACCCATGGCCAGCTTTTACAGCTGCCATCCAAGTGTGTGAAAATGTACGTCAGCTCCTCTACCAATCTGTCCCGTTCTAGCTCAGTCGCTTACCTCAGGCCTTCTTCGCCTAATTCAACGTTTGCAGGAGCCTCTGGAAAACACGGAACCTTGGTATCCATTGGCATCACCGCCAACGACGGCCACGACCTACGTCCTGAACATGACACTCGGCCAAAACGCGTCGGGCTCATACCTGTGGTACATGAATAACTCGACCTTTCGCGGCAACTACAACCACCCGATCCTCCTGCTGTCGAACCTCGGCAACAACTCGTATCCCGACGACCCCCAATGGAACGTTGAGAACTTTGGCACCAACACGTCGATCCGCATGGTCGTCTACAACGCCAACCCTCGCACGCATCCCATGCATCTGCACGGGCACAACTACCGGATCGAAGCGATCGGCTACAACAACGAGACGTGGGACGGGACCATCGTGCGGCCGTCCAATCCGCAGCGCCGAGACACGCAGCTCGTGCCTGGCTGGGGATACATGGTGATCTCCTTCGAGGCGGATAACCCGGGCGCCTGGCCGTTCCACTGCCATGTCGCCTGGCACGTGGCCGCCGGCTTGTACGTGACCGTGGTCGAGAGGCCGGATCTGATTGCGAAATACCGCATTCCGAGCATCATGGCGCAGACGTGCAGGGACTGGTGGGCGTATACGAAGACGGATGTTGTGGATCAGATCGACTCGGGGTTGTGAGAAGACATGGACTGAGGTTTTGAACTTTTGTTCATTCACTTCTCTGTGATCTGGCAATTACCTCTTCTCTTGTCTCTATTTTGTCATACCCTCCCGAAGGCTTCGGCCCGAGATCAACACCACCAACTGCATCGTCAACGTACATTAAATGTAACGAAAAAGTGGTGTCACCGCAAGCAGTAAATCATTTCCAGCCTGTTTGCTAAGGTGCCAAATCAAGAAATATACAGGTACTGCATGCACGCGAAAGCCCGATCGGTTATGCAATGTTCCACAGACCACTCACATCCTTCATCCTTCCCCAGCCCGTATCAAGACTTTCCCATTGAGGCAATCGGACGCCGAGAAATGTGACAGACTCAAACCCGCCCGCGCTTTGTAATAATGTGATATGTTTGCCCTTATGATTATGCAATCTAGACCCTTTACCGCGCGTCTGCTGATTAATTCCGTACTCGCTGTTTGCTATGATGCAAACAAAGAAGGGCCACTGCAGGTACGTACCCTCAGGTACGGGTCCTATCCCGGACCGGTGAAACTCAAACGGTACTAATAGCTGCCTGCCAAGCCCAATCTTGAACTACCAGAGGCACCCACCAGAACACCACTCAAGCGCGCGGCACTTACTTTTCTCGTCCAAAGGGTAGCGTTCCAATCACTCTGATTAATTATTCATATCCATCCTTACAACTACCTCAGGTAGTCACCATGTCCTCCTTCTCGCACCTAAAGCCCCTCACGGTCTGGGGCAAAGGCGGCCCCAACCCGCCCAAAGTCGCCATCCTTCTCGAAGAGCTAGGCGTTCCCTACGAAGCCCTCCCAATCCCCCTCTCCGACGTCAAAAAGCCCGAGTACGTAGCCATCAACCCCAACGGGCGGCTCCCCTCCATCCGCGACCCCAACAACGGCGACCTGACGATCTGGGAGTCGGGCGCCATCCTCGAGTACCTGATCGAGCGGTACGACACCGAGCACCGCTTCAGTTTTCCCCCCGGCTCGCCTGAGTCCTACCACGCCAAGCAGTTCCTTTTCTTCCAGGTCTCTGGCCAGGGTCCGTACTACGGCCAGGCGACTTGGTTTAAGAAGTTCCACCAGGAGCAGGTGCCCAGCGCTGTCGCGCGGTACGTGGCCGAGATCAACCGCGTCACGGGGGTGCTGGAGAAGGTGCTGGCTGAGCAGGCGGAGAAGTATCCCGGCGGGGACGGCCCGTGGTTGGTGGGTGGGAAGTACTCGTTTGCCGATATCGCTTTCATTTCGTGGCAGAGGGTCATTCTCAAGGTGCATGAAAAGGACGAGTACGACCCGGACCAGTACCCGCATGTCAAGGCATGGTTGGAGAAGGTGCAGCAGAGGCCGGCGGTCCAGGCTGGGTTGGGTCAGGGTGGTCAGTTGAAATGAAGTGGCATAGATAACGTGTCTGTTGTGGCTTTGGCTTATGATGGGGTTATTTTATGTATTGTGAAATGGAGAACATTGAACCAGATAAATGGTGGATTGAGTCTGCTACGCAAAAAAGATGTGACTGAGATCCTGAGATAAAGCATGTGTTGAGGCTAAATGTGCGTAAATGTTGGTGTGAATGGACTCAAACGCTGCGGCGGTAAACCTCCCCTGACGTTCTAAAGGCATATGTAGCGGTGTCTATAATTAACCATCCATGACACATTTGAGTTATGTACAGTACTCCTCCATCTAACGCTATCCAGTGGCAAATCGTGCAATTAATCACAGCAGAGCCTGGGAGAAGAGATCCAGCTGCGAGTCCAGAAACATGCCCGTCTCCAGGTCTATCAAGAAGGGGTTGAGGTTCGAGGCCGCTTGGCCCGGGTACCCCAACATGGCGTGGCTCTGGCCGCTGTCGCCTTCCTGGTCGCGGACGTCGGGCAGCGTCTCCTCGGCTTGGGGTGGTGCAAGCGGCGCGTCAATGATCTGGTCCAGGACACGGGTCAGGCGGGCCTGCACCTCTTTGCAGAATTTTGAGTTGTGGCTGCCACGGCGCGGTACCCAACCCAGGCACGAGACGTAGACGGTCAGCTCGCGGATCACCTCGGAACGGGGCAGGTGAGGTCCTGCGCTCCCCGCACCACCCACCGGGTAATGGAAGGGTACAGAGCGCCGGAGCAGCTCCGTCGCGAGAACATCGGCGCATGGGAGGCCGTAGGGTAGAAACTGGGACGATATTCAAGGTTAGATAGACCTTCAGCATGGTTTCCAATACGCTCGATGAGCAGGACATAATAAATGAGACTCGAAAGTTGAAACGTACGACGGCTGAAAAGTCGCTGCGGACCTCCCGCAGGAGTTCCCGCTGCTCGTTGAAAATTAAGACGGTCGACAAGACGTCCTTGGCCGCAAACAAAAGCATCTCGAGGGTCTCCGGGCTCTGATCCTGTTGGGCCTTGGAACGAAACACCAAGAAGGTGGAGTACAGGTAGTCAATGTAAAACCCAAGAAGGAACCACGTGTCGTGCGGGCTCAATGCGGCGCTGCTCGTAACAGCCGAGGAATACTTCATGTTGCTGGGGCAGCTGTCCCACATTGCTCGCAGCCTCTGCAGGACGGCTCTAAGGGACACAAGTTAGGGTGCGAGTGAGCTCAATCTGTCTCCCTTCAACCTTGTGTGATGACAAAAGCAAGGAAGGGACTTACTGGGCTCTATCTGGAGGGCCAACGCTGCTGCCCAGCAGCAGTTCCAGGGCCTCCTCGCGAAGCATGGCCAGCAGATACCGAAGACGCATATAGCTCGTCGACCGGCGACGTCCGTCCGTGTTCCACCCGTTCTGGTCCAGTTTCTGGAGCTCGTGCTCGCACTGGGGCCCCGTCAGGTCGTCGTCTTCCAGGTCAAGAGGGGCATCCAGGACGCAATAATGCCGATGGATTATGGGTGGGCGGCCCAGGATGGTTGCGACGGTCTTATCCAAGGAGAAGATGGCTGTGAAGCACCGTCGCCGCCACTGATGCATGAATCCAGGGTGGTCTGCCGGCCCGGAACTGACCGTGCGGTCTTGATGCATGCCAGTTGCATAGACGGACGACGCGAGCTCCATAAAGATCGAGTACACGTGATGACCTGTTGAGGGTTAATTACGTGATTGTGCGTGAAGACATGCATCTGAGAGATAGATAGCTAGAAGACAATTGCTCACTTGAGTCACCAAATCGATGAAAAGCCAACAGGAGGTGGTTGTACTTTAGACAGACCAGCAACTCGTTGACCACGGGTGACGCGCTGGTCAGGGTCATGATGCCGTCTGTACTGCTGTTAAACGGTGGGATGAGATCGTTCTTGCTCCGCTTCTCCGGATCCAACAGGGCGAGGTCGCGATCATGTATGTGGACCAGACACAGACTGGCCATGGCGATCATGTTTCCTATGGTCTCCCATCGCAGGTTCTCGCCAGCAATGGACTGCCCTACTTGGCTGGGTGTTGTGAGCTTGGTACCCGGGATGGCCTGGTACGAGCTCTGGAAGAGGTGGATGACGGTGCGTAGCTTGGCATCGTCGTCGTGGTTCGCGTCGTTGGCGGCAACCTCATGGTCGATCAAGCGGCAGAGTGAATCGACGGCCGGGAGCATTACCTTGTGGGGGACGACGGGCATGCGGATGACGCGGTAGATGTGGAGCATGAGGTTCCGCAGCAGGACACGGTACTCATGGACGAAGTCAAGGATCTGCAAGCCGAGATCCAAGCGCTTGCGGTCGATGGAGTGGGTGGTTGTCCCGGGAGACCCGGCGGCTCCGGGGTAGTCGGACGAGGTCTGCGGCATGGAACCGTCATGGGCTGTCAAGCTGTGATAACTTCCTGGGCCGGCAAAGCCACCGATCTCGTCAGGTGAAATGGTGATCTCGACGGGCTGCGTTGCAGCAGGCGTCGGGGTAGGGGGCCCAGGCCCGCCTGGCGGTGTATTATCCAATGATTCCAATCTGGCATTTTAAGTCCGATTATTAGCGTCGCGTGTCTCATCGGTATAAAGACGGTCTGAGTTAAACCTATCCTCTCGGGGAAAGGGAAAGGGTTCGATCAGACGGAAGACGGCGCAGCTAATGAGACCGTAAGGGGAGGACGCACATGCGTGGTGTTTGCCCTGTTGGGCTGTGACTTTGGCCCTGGCTCAGCTGGCTGCTTCGGCCTTGGCTCTGGCTCTGGCTCTGGCTTTGCCGCCGTGCCACGGAACCTGGACGGCCGGACACCCCATAGGCCCGCATTGTCGTGCGCAGGCGGCCGGAGCTGGCATCAAAACGAGCGGGCCGAAAGTGGCGCGTCATGGGAGCTGCCTCGTACACACACTCGAGATGCTTCGCGGCACAGCGGCTACACTTGGGCATTCCATGGTCGCAGCGCACTTTCATCTTGCGGCAGCGCTCACACGACTTTTGCGCCCCATTCCGCCGGAGGTTGGCCGCTGGCACCGACGCCATTCCAGTAGGGTAGGGTACCGGTAATCGTAGCGCCCGACACGCGGCGTCAAGTCCGGGCAGGATGGGCTCGCTCCCAGGAAGAGCCCCCAGGACGGGGCTTCCAGATAGGTATGGAAGTTACTTTAGCAGAGAGGTGCCAGTGTTACAAAGGTAAATGCCAGTGTTGCAAAGGTAAAGTACCCACTCTCGTGCGCCTCAGCACGCCATGTGCCCGAACACCAATCAGCGGGCTGCTAAATCTCGGAGGAAGTCGTCTCCCGCGTCACACGCTCCGTGACGACGATGTGATTCACAGAGGTCTACTCACTACGTGAATCCTCCCAAACCCCTAAACCCCTAAACCGCCCCACTGCACTGGCGTTAAATTCATTTTTCGCACCGAGCGATTACATTGCACAAATATTTTCCAACCCGATTGTACCACTACTCGCCACAATCACAAACATCAAGTTACCTAACTACGAAGTAGGTCAAACAATATTATATAACTAACCCTAACCCTAGGCTTAATCTCAACATTATTACTCGGCGAGTTATTACTCTGCGAGATCTGCTTGTGTACCTGACTTTCACCCAAGCTGTCCGCTCTTCTACGGGTTACAACCAGGTCCAAGGTAAGGTAATTAGTACCAAAGATCCGGAGGTCGTTTTAAATCAGCGACAGTCATCTTTCGCCGCAGGAGTCGTGAGCGCCAACACACACGACTGGGACACCACAGCTGACAGGCGCAAGCATGGCTCGGTCCGAGAGATCGTGGTCTTCAACCGGATGAGGACAGACTCTTCGTGAAGCCCGCCCCGTGCTTCCTACTCGGCCCCGCTTTTGCCGGAGCAACCTACATTGTCGGCATCAGCTTCCTAATGACGTTTCGGGCGTCTTCTGGGTTTAATTGCAGACACTAGCAGTATAGTTATCCTAGCCAGAGCCTCCCATCGCACTACAAGCTCAGCTATGGACTATTATAGACCTAACTATATAAACCTAACTATCTTCACCTATCGGCCAAAAGACTTGTACCACATCCCGTTCCCGGCTCGTTGGCAGTAGATCCCACAACATACCCTACGAAAGCAAATCTTATATACCTAGGTAATTAATAACAAGCTTCCTTCACATGTTCTGGGACGGCTCTCTGACACTGCTTATCAAGCGCCAACGTGTACAAAGGACGCCCAGAGGAGGGGATTTGTCCAACTGTCCTCTCTCAGGTCGTTCACCGCGCGATGAAAAGCCACGGCTACGCTTCTGTGGGTCGGCTCCTGGGCGCCTTGAAAAAGATACGTGTAGAACTTCTCCGCTACTGCTCTACACGAGTCGTTCCGCGTGCTCCACAGGGTGGCGAGGACGTGGTTGAAGCCAGCGAGGTGAAAGGCCGAAGCCAGGTGGATGGCCTCGTCCGATAGCCCGACTGCCGGGTTGTCAGCGCTGTAGCAAGCCCGGAGGAACGCAATCCCGGCCGCAGCCCCTGCCGACGAGGACCTCCGCATGATGTCCTCCACAAACAACTCGTCTGGCCGGTCCATGCCGCGGCCGTCGGGATCCGTTCTGGCCAAGATCAGGCGGCTACGTGAAGGGTTAGTCAGATCGGACTCGGCGTGACACGCGAGGTGGAGCACGTCGCAGTGTCCAATATGGTCGGCGACTTGTGCAGCTGTAGGATGAACCAGCGTCGTGACAGGCGTGATGCGACTGACGCAGTCGCCAGGAAACGCCGCTTGAATAAGCTGTGCTTCGTTTTCGACGCCGTCTAGTCGCGGGTATCCCGGCGTGGTCTCCATTGCAACAAAACAAACCTTCGCGTGGGCCGTGTCGGCAAGCGCCGCCCGCTTCTCTCGTGCGTACAAGAGCGACTTGAGAGTCGGGACGTAGGTTGAGTTCACGACATCCATCGCAGACTCTCCTGGTGTGTCGCCGCCATAGCATCCCGCGGCGTGGAACGGGAAGTGTGCGAGCAAGCCGACCCCGATCCACCAGACCCTCGGCAGGTCTTTTACACTGTGACTGACGAGATGCGAGCTGTCGCCAGCATGAGCGCGCCACCCCATGGAGTGCAGTATTGGCTTTACCGCAGCCGTCCAGAGCCATTCCAGTACGGGGATCAATCTGCGGCCTCTCTTGAAATACTGTTCATGTGCCAATTTCCGGACTCGGCGCAGGACGTCCAAGTTTCTCTGAATCGTCTCGGTTGTTATCTCTGGCAGTTCTACAGCCTTTGTATATCCTCGGGTTGATATTATTGCAAAGGACTTAGTGAAGACGGCGCTGTTGAAGACCATGATGACAGCTCCCTCTTTGGAGACATCCTGGAGCTCCTCGCGGCTTGGGGCGAGGAAAAAGTGGCTCATTCCGTCAAGGTCGCGGATCTGCCCAAGTAACCGCTCCATCTCGGCATCAAGGTCTTCTTCTTCTGCCGCCAAAGGCTGATGGCCATTGGCGCTATCATAGTAGGCTAGCACCCTCCTAGAAGGTTCGTGCTCCCTCCTAGCCGCGAGACGGAGCTGGAGATCGCGAAAGCGCCGGTGAAGAACCGGATCGATCCTCAGCAGCTGGCGTGCCTCACTTCTCTCCTCAATAATGGTCCCAATGATGAGGCCCCGTCCCTGCTCCAACAGCTTGACAGCCCACAGCGGCCCATCGCCACTTGTTCCCAGCAGAAGAAGCGCCGCGGCGGCCGCATCACTGGGAACACCGCCGACATCGGACAGGAGAGATTGCTTGTTGTCGTGGCTCATTCCGCGTGCACTCAGCGTTGCGAACAGCTCTATGGCCCGTTCAAAAGACGTCAGGGCGTCGGCAGGCCTGTCCATGGATGCCTGCAGCCGCGCCGCCGTCGTCAGCGCCGTGATTCGGACGAGCGGGCTTCCCGCGTTTGCGACTCTAGCCGCCTGCAGGTACGCCCTCACAGCATCGGCTCTGTCTCGCTGTACGCCAAAGGCGTCGTATCGAGCCATGTATGTGTTTCCCAACGACATCCAAAGCCGGGCCCGGTTGACAACCCGGGAGGCTGAGAATGCGATGGCCAGGATTTCTGTCGCAACGGCTCTTTCGATGTCAAAGACGCTGGTGTGCGAGGACTTTTCTCGGGCGTTCTGGAATCGTGCGCGGAACCCGAGTGAGAGGTTGTGGAAGGCCAGGCGTATCTGCGTGTCTCCGCGGTCTACCACCCGGCAGGCCATCTCTCCGGCCTGGATCTGCCTGTCCAAGATGTCGACCTCCTTACCTGTCTGGTATTGGGCCGCATAGATGGCGGCGATGACATTAAGAAGGGTGACCAGCAGCCGTTTCGACAACCGGCCCGAGCTCAGCGCCGTTCTCGCAAAGAGGAGGGCCTCTTCCAGGTCCAGGCGCGCTTTGGTCCGACTAGAACGCTCTTGCAGCGCAACAGCCAGAATCTGGAGCGCGTCCGCAAAAGTCTCATCCGCGCTGTTAAGCGACAAGGCGCTTTCAGTGACCAGCTGGATGGACTGTTGCATGTCATCCAGGAAACCCGCCAGCCAGTATCTGTCCAGGAGGAGAGCGATCAGGGGGAGGCACACTTTGGGGTCTCTGTTGATGGCGCTGCCCACAAATCCTAGCCTGGTGGCTTCCCTGGCATGTCCTCTCGCCGTCTCGAAGTACTCCTGGGTTCCGGTTAGCGAGAATGCGGCACTATATGCATCGGCTAGGTCCGCTAGACATCGCGCCCTTAACAAAGGCTCCGTGCCGGATGGACTCAGTTGGACCGCCTTCTTCAAAGCCAGGATTCTCAACTCCGTCACCGACTCCGGAGATGGCTTGTTGCTGCCGTACCGGGCGAGTTGCGAGGCGAATAGGCGCAGCAGCGGGGCCCGGGAAGCGTCAGGACTGTTGTAAATCCACCCCCAGATCGTGTTGACATGGTCTTCCGTCTCGATGCTGTCAACCAAGTATCTTAGGAGATCTCGTGTTTGCTCAGCGTACCACTTTCCGGCATCCGCCCTGTCGGCTCTCGCCCTGTCGAACACATAGTCAGTCGCCCCGCAGAGCATATCAAGTCGCCCTCCGCGTCGGCCCAGGATTCTCCGCCATAGAGTCGCCAAACCTGCGAAGAAGGCAACGGTGGAATGCGCGCCCCGTCGCGCCTCAGCGCCTGTCCGATGCGGCAGGTTCTCTAGCCAGTACCCATAACCTGCATTAGGCGGGATCTTTTCTGAGGGTAGTAGGAGAGGGTCGCCCAGATACGAGTCATCGTGTGGGTGATGACGGAAGGCCGGCTGCAAAGGGTCGAACGGCCCGCAGCGGCCGCCGCCTTCTTCTGCACACTCCGCTTCATGGAATTCCCCACCTCTGACACCCGTCATCATGTCCAGCCTGCCATCATGCTCATCATCATCGACAGCGGGTCCCGGTTCCGCGCCTTCGCCGGCACGACCAGGCGGAGGCCATTGGAACCTAGCGTTGCTTCCAAGTGGAGAGCCATCCTTGTCCAACATGAGTTCTGCGAGTCTCATCGCTTCACCAGCATCTTCGGGGTCTTGTGTCTGCTCGTACTTCAGGAAGATGCGCCGTGAGAGTAAGCTCAAGATCGAGTTCCAGCGACGGATTTGGTAGACGCTGTCCCCTCGGTGATCTTCGTGCTGGTACAGAATTTTAACTTCCCTAGTCCAGCGGATACATTCATTGATCTCGTCCAAATCCCTCATGCTCGGATCCCCCGTCTCTGTGTAGTGCAGCTCCAGGACGTCGGCGAGATGGATGATCAGCCGCTCGCGTACGGCTGACAAGGGTGGCACAGCAGCAAGAGCTTCCCTAGCGTGGAATATGGCGTCTACAAGGTCCTGATGATGATGTCTAAATTTACCCCTGGCAAAAACCGCAGCCGACAAGTTCCGGAGCCGCAGCCATCGCTCTGGGTGGCCCGGGGGCGTCAACTGAAAGGCAATGCGGGCGAAATCGACGCTCCGATCGAAATCTTGCTCTCGTTCTACGCGTGGGGTCGCACTTTGTCTCGCCCGCGCCTGAAATTTGGCACCTAGGTTTGCGGCCGTCCTGGCGCGGTCATAATCTCTCGCTGCTTGCTTATACACCTGTGTGCTCAACGCGATCGCCGCGCCAATGTCGTCCCGGTCGTGAGTCTGGCTGAAACGTAGCTCCAGATGGCCCGCGTAGTTGTCAGCAATGACAGGCCAGTGTTCGTTGTCTCGAGCGCAGAGCTCTAGGGCCGATTTGGAAGCCTCGATGCTGTCGGAGAGATCGCCAAGTATGTGGTCCTTCTGCCACTTGAGCTCGTAGATGTTGCTCAGCACATCCAAGGCTAGGGCCTTCACGCTCGCCGAGGCGGATTCTCGGACAGCGTAGACGGCGGAACGAATGGCGATGGCATAGTTCCGAGGGTTCTTTTCGCGCTCGAAGAGACACCCGGTCAGATCTGCATAAACGATCGCCGCCTTTGCCTTCAGATCCGGCTCGTTCCCACTATTAATCGCACGTGAGTGACGGTCAGGAGGGGCCGAAGGGAGATGGAACGAAGACGGAGGCTCAGCTCCGAAGACCTGGAGCGTCTCTCTGGCGAGGAAGACCGCAGCGAGCAAGTCTTGGGGCATTCCTCCGTGACGGTATCTCTTGTATGTCTCTTGACAGAGGAAGTAAGTGAACTCTGGGTTCCGTAAGTGCTCACTGAGCCAGAGTCTGTCAAGGGATAGCTGTTGCACCCAGTCGCCTGGGATCGTATCGTCCAGCTCGAGAGAGTAAATCGCGTCGAGAACTGTATCAACGGTACGAATAGGAGATGGAGGGACCGTATACTGGACAATGAGCTGCGCTAAAGTCGTATGCACTCCAGACAGCACCGCTCGGGCATAGTCCATGCCAGCCGTCAAGTACCCAAGGGGCAGCTGCCAGAGTGCAGCGAGCATCGTGGAGCAGTGGTATGTGAAGGTTAGTAGTTTGCTCTTAAGACAAAGCTGTAGGGAGTTTCCAGGCAGTTAATTAGTGTTTTTTTTTCGCTCCTTAAAATAATGAGTGACCGATCAGAAACTGTCGTACTAGTTGCTGCGTCGGGGTAACAGCCCGGGGGTGCAGTAATGAGGCAACGGCTGCGCAATCATTACATCATTCAAGTCTATTTTGGATGCCGCTGCCAGCAACTCAGCGTGGCGAATTCCAAATTTCCTCAGAATGATGTTTGACTTGAAGTGAGCATCAGTGGCTTCCAACTCAACACAAATCTGCTCAAGCTGCAGACGAGACCATGGCCAGCGGGGGGTTTAACGGACTTCGCAACCTATTACCTGCCAATTACATTAAATTGGGCAGTTTCGTCTTGTTTCCAGGCGACCCTTTGAGGTCCTTCTTCAACCCAGACGGCACGCCGGCACCCAGCGCCAAGATCGAAGCCACGAGCGCGGCCGACTTTGATGCCAGCAACACCGGGGGCCGAGGAGCCCTCTCGCTGGGAGAGATACTTACTGCCGGGTGTGGCCTAAAATCGGAAACCTCGGTCAATCTCGAAGCGGCGAGCTCCACGTCGCAATCCATGCTCAACTACGACGACTGGTTTCAGGAAGCGTGCCGGTCGACTAAGCTCAGAGTTTGGTTTGAGCAGCAACTGGAGAGATACGGATCAGCCGGGTTGCGCCTGCATTTTGTCATCGGCCTTCAGACCATCAAAGATGCATCCCTGGTGCTGCGGAGATCGAACACGGTCGAAGCCAGACTGGCCGGTCAAGTGCCGGTCGCGGAGCTTCTAGGAGACCCTGGGGTGTTGACTCGCCTGCTCGACCCAAAGGCCGAGGTCAACGTCGAGTTCATCCGGTCTGCCGGGCAGAAGTTCTCGGTTGCAGAGACGGTGCACGCAGTGAGATATGCGCTGGTCAGGTTCGAGTACCTGTCGAGCAGGAAGCTTGCCCGGCTTCTGGGAAAGATGCGTCTCCCCAAATCATCGCTGGAGACGGGCACGCGGTGGGTGGTTATGGGCGCAGACGCCGGAGGACCATCTGTAAGTGACCAGGAAATCGAATCGGAAGATGAACTGGAGGATATAATTGAAGCTAGGATTTGCGAGCAAGACGAGGAGCAGGGGCCAGCGTCTGTTGCGAGCCTGGAAGTGGGGGGTGGTTACCAAGTTGATTATTAGTTTAAGCAAAGTTAACGTACTTAGACGCGAAAAGAAACACAAGAAGAGGCAAGCTTGGCTTATATCAATCATTGCCTAATTGGCCAGCATAAATACTAGAGAGATAACATGGGATCTTTCACCTATGTCCTCAGGACACCTTGATAACATAACCTAATTAATTGTTATGAAAATTTTGAGAACATCTCATTGATACCTTTATAATTGTAGGAACTTTATAGCGGAGACAAAGTAGTGACATCTAGTTATAATGTTATAAGTAGATAGCTACAGTGCTTTACGAGTTCTAGCAAGTCGAGTACGTAGAATACTAACCCTGTCGTGCCTAAGGTAGAGGCCGTTGCTAACACGAATGCAACAACCAAGAATGAAACTCTCAGCTAAACAGCATGGAAAGTTAGTCCCAGTAATCCCCGTAATTGTAGTGGTCACTGCTGCCGTCAAAATTTAATAGTTCGTCCGGATCCCATCATCGAGCCCCGCCAAGCCCACCATATGCTCCGATCACCGCCGTCCTCCCTCCTTGAAAGGCTCAGCTGTCCGGCCTTCCATATCCTCGATTTCAAAATCTGTCATCCTTTCCTCCAATAAATCAAATACTCCCTGAATCGAGGAGTGGCTGCTTGCGGGAGTTAAACGGAACTTGGCGGGATGGGCTTTGGGGCTTTGGAGGTATTCCTTGACAGAGAAATGGGCCAGAGAGAAAACCATCTCTTGTTCTTCCCCAGACGTGGCCCTTCCTTCTACCTCAGATGTCTCTACATCGCCCCATGTCGAGATTTCTTTTGCTGTTTTATTGGGTACGGATACCGTAGCGAGTCCAGGAAGCATGTTCCTCACCTCCGACATGCCCTAAAACCTGTTTTCTACCGAAAAGGTAACCTCAACAACCTGCCGGTGATCGTCATGGCCATCATCACCATCCCTCATTGGGTATTCGAACGCCGCAATCTCGTTGACTTCGGCAAGTAGAAGTGGGCGTTTGGAAAAGGCTAGCCAACGAAGGATCGAGAGTGCTGCCATGCCGTGGACGTCCTCGATTCGCTTGAGCATTCTTTCATATGTCTCTTCCAGCGCTCTAGGCAGCTTTCTGAGAAGCTTTTCGACATCTTTCGGTCGGCCCTTTCTCTCTAGTTCCTTGAGCTGCAGGTCGGCCCACCGGAACACTCCATCTGCATGCTCTGTGAGATAACTAATCACCGTCTGCCTGAGGTTTTCATCCCAGCCTTCGTATCCCACCGTGTCCATGGCGTGTAGGAGGTGATTTCTGATGTCCACATTAACTCGATCCGCTGGAAATGGGACAGTGAGTATCTCTCTGCCAGCCATTGCTCTCTCAATGTCATCTTCTATCCGGCTTGTGATGATAATATGGAGGTTGTGGCTCGGGTCGTGGCTGAGATCAGCTAAGAAATGGACAATCTGGCGTCGATCCTCACGCGAAGGGCATTCGTCTAAAACGTCAACCACGATGTAGGTGCTGCCCGACTGCCGGAGAACCTCGCGAAAAACAGCATCCGTATGTTCTGGAAGTGGGTGTTTCGACGGCGCATACTTGTCGTAGAGATGCCGAAAGGCTCTTGGAATTGCAAACCCACCTTCCTCCCCCGCGGGTGTTGTCGATAGTGACCCGATAATCTGGGTGAGAAGGGTGTACTTGAATTGCTCTAGTCTAACATCGCTTGTGAAGGCAAAGGAGAAGTAGAAGTAAGCGAGAGCGCCGAGTTCTTGCGACTAGATCTTGTCGATAATGGCAGAGGATAGTACTGTTTTTCCGGATCCAGCTGTTTGACTTTGGAATTAGTGCCTTTTGAAACCAATCCTGCTTTGATGGTGCACCGGCTCTCACCTTTAGCGCATAGCCAGTAGTAAGAATTTTTCTAGGTCTTCCAGGTATCAAAATCATGGGCCAGAAACCAGTCTCCTGTCGTCTTGGTTGTGCGAAATTGGCGAGCGTCGTTATGGCGTCTGGAAGAGTCGATGAACGGCAGCCATCCGAGATACTTGTCTCTTTCGCTGGTATTAAGTCGGACCCCCCCCCTTTGGAACACCCCACCTTTGGAACACTTGGCAAACCCACACCCAAAAACCCACCCATCTTCTTCAACACCATATATTGCAACCACTTCAACCCACTACGATACAAGAAGCCTCTGAACCACCACTTTCAGACCCGCTCTCTTCAGCCATTGTATCCTCGATGCGACCGGCTTCAATCTGGGCCCTGTGGACCTGTTCAATTGAAGCGAACAGGGTATTTGGGTCCGTTTGGACCCTCTTCCGTTTCGATGGCCGGGCTGCTT